GGTTGAGGTCCAGCGGTGCACACTGCGATCGGATCCTTGCGGTTGAGGTCCAGGGGTGCACACTGCGATCGGATCCTTGCGGTTGAGGTCCAGTGGTGCACACTGCGATCGGATCCTTGCGGTTGAGGTCCAGTGGTGCACACTGCGATCGGATCCTTGCGGTTGAGGTCCAGGCGTGCACACTGCGATCGGATCCTTGAGGTTGAGGTCCAGGGATGCACACTGCGATCGGATCCTCGCGGTTGAGGTCCAGGGGTGCACACTGCGATCGGATCCTTGCGGTTGAGGTCCAGGGGTGCACACTGCGATCCGGAGCTGGCCAGACAAGATCGGCGAAGCAGATTGGCGATGAAGATTGGCGAGGAAGGAAGCAAGGAGGAAGGAGGAAGGAGGAGGACGAGGAGGCGGCGGAGGCGGAGGAAGAACAACTGTGATAAAATCTAACAACCCTCACCTGGCAGGTGGGGAAAAATAGATACTAACGGCTCTCCTACAACTAACAAACTTGACTCAACATGTCCAACACACCGAATCTCGAGCAGCCCTACCGTGGTTGCGGAGAGGATGTCAAAGGCTTGGCCTGCTTCTTGCCTGACAAATCGTTGGGTCCAAAGCGTTTTGCTGGGCCGTTCGCAAGTATTCTTCGACCGCTCTAAGACATGAACTGTAGTGATGAACTGTTTTTTGTGATCGGAAAAAGTTTTGTTTTGATTAAACTTAAACCTTCCACTTGAACCACGGTCAATGCAAATCACACTACGCCGCGCCGTCCATGCTCGGTGGCTGCAACCTTAGCGTGTCCACAATTTGGGCATATTGATGCCACGAACACTGAGCAATCGCAAGGAAGGACCAGCTGCTCACTCAGCTTCACAACAACAAGAAGCAGGCACAAGAGCAGGAACAAGGGAAGCAAGAAGGAAAGGCTTTAAGGCCCTAACCGAGCTTCATTTACTCGCTAGTTCACATAATGACCACTTCCTGAACTGACTGGTCGCATCATTTGAGCCTCTGACGGGGAGTCAACACTCGAGATACTTCGTGCGGACAGTCCGACCTTGGAGCGTGCAGAAAGTCGCACGGCATCGGTAAAGCCAAAACGTTCAAGCGGCAAGTGGGTCGAAACTGCCAAAAGTATTCTCAGACTGACTGGATCTCGTCTTTCTGCGCCATGCTTTGGCCGAGTTGTTGACTGAAGGGCCTCAGGTCCATTCTACAGGAATGGATTTCCCACAAAGCAAGGTTTTGTATATGGTTTTCTATTCTTGTGGACATCCATGTAATTCAATCTTACAGCAAGAAACATACTCGTCATTTTATAGTCTCCCTCACACTCCTGACATCAATAGACCGGAGTCCGGCGGCTTCGGCCGTTTCACGGATGCTCTGCCGGCCCGGCTCGAGGCGGGCACCACGGAATTGGCCTCGGGTAGGCGTCTCGCACCGAACGGGAACGGCGACAGTCCCACGCGTAGAACTGAGGGGGTCGTTTTGGAGACTCGTTGCTGATGTGGACAGGCTTAAATGAGACTTGCCTGGCACAACACTCAAGGCCCACTAGTAGAATCTCCTATGGAAATCAAAGTGGCACTGAGTGCTGCACATTCTGAACATCTGGAGTTGCAGCCACTGAGCCTTCCCTGGGCCAAAATTGAGGCTGTCTAATCCTCCAACTTGAATCTTCCAGTAGAGATTTTGAAGGTTCCACCATGCATGAACAGACCTTACTGTAAGTCAAAACCTACCTGACACGTCTGCCTGATAGATGGCCTGGTGTCATCTGGTGTCAAAGATTACAGTAGCTCCTGTTCTGCGTAGGATCAAAGTTCCCTCCGATTGTTGTGTGTAGTGCCATGTAGTCCCAATCAAGTAAGTGGTGCATCGTTGGAGGCAAAAATTACGATTACAGCATATATAGATTATAGGCCAAACGATTGACACAGCTCCTGATGATTCCTGATGTATCTTGTTTCAAACAGCACCTGGTAAAACATCAAGAAAGAACTTCCAAGTTTAATTTGAATTTCTGACAAAAAGATCCTACGTGCAACAAGAGGTACGATCAGCAGTTGCACCGCTTGCCTTACTAGCCAAGAATCTAAAATTGCATAATCAGCATGCAGGATTTAGGACAAGTGCTTTCTTTTACGACAACGAGGACGACCACAACAACACAACAGGACATGGAAGCCTGCTTCTCTAAATCTATATGTGTTTTGGCGGAGGAACCGCACTGATCAAGATAGAACTTGCCAAAGTTGAAGTCTACAACATGCTCAACCATGGTCACCGGCTAAACTTGTTGCTTCAGCAGTAAAGACTTGGGATGACTCTACGCAGCAAGGGCCTTAAGGCACAAGATGCCCCAAGTAAAGGCTCAACCATTCCTATCATGCCTGGAGTTTGTTTCCTGCACACTATCACCATACATTGTTGAGGTCTGCGCGTCAATGAAGCTTGCTCGCTGTCGCCCCCATCAATCATCCCAGCGGACCAAAAGGAAAGACAAACTCAATTTACTACAGTCAGTCCAGGCGTGGTGAAGCTATATTGATTTGGAGCGCATCTTCGGTATTTGACCCCAAAAAACATTGCGAAGGCCAAACAGTCTGTTTTTGTCTCCAGTATCAACTTCATGAACCTGTGTGCCGGTATGTCCCGTCGTCAAGGCCTCTGGCCTTCCTTGAGCCGTTGTCTCCACAAAATTAGCAAGAGGGTGTCCAATGCTCTATCAACATCAATCTGCACTCAACAGAGAGGATCCGACTTACGTCTGTTGTTCTGTTCACCTCGCATCTGCAGCGTCTTTGTCTCCTCTGCCCACTCTTTGCCAGCACAGAGCACGCTTTGGTTTGTGCGCGGCTTGCCTGTACAACTAGCAGCTTTGGCATGCGTAGATCACTCCGTGTAGGGTCGAGTGTGCAGGTGGCCCCTGTGTAGATGTAGGCTTCCCAAATGGTAGAAAACAGAAAGCTGTTTGCCTCTTCTCCTGACGAGAATAATAACCTGTCTTTCTGAAGCCCTCAGTTTCTTCGATCCACGTCTGCCAGGAGTGGTGATTCATTTGCAACGCTCGAAGTTTTTGGATCGCGCATCCGGAACTTCTAAGCCAGGCTTTGAAGCTGCACATTCTGCTTTCAGCTTGGAGGCAATGCCTCTCTCTCTGCGACTCTTGTGGGAAATCCAAACGAAATCGGATTTCCGAGGAGTTCATATCCCTTGAACCTTCAAGTTCTCCGCGAGGAGGTACACGGATACCGGTGAGAACTCAGGCACTCGTTGCGAGTTCGAACCTCGACTGGACAGCGACAGCGACAGGATGCACTCCAAAACATGTGGTTTTGACATATCAACGAGTCGTATCTTGGGGGTTGTGTGTGTCAAAGATGTATGGAATGCTCAACCCAAATTCCTGATTTTCAGGTGCTGGCCATTGCTTCATCACATCGCTCAAGATTGCTGGAAGACTCTGCAAATCCTGCAAAGAATGTCGGTCAGCTGACGCTCATTGACTTGTCTAAAGTGAACTCTCGGTCCTGAACCACGACATAATACGGAAATGGGAAGTCCTGCAAGTATGGTACAACCTGCACGCGAACGTGCACGTTCGTGCACGATGGCTAGAATGACGTTCGTCTCCCCCTTTGTGCTTCTTTAGATTTCTATAGGTACATGCCTAACACACGTGGACATGGAACAAACCCTTGTTTTAGAGGAACATCGTCTTCCAGGGAAGGCATGTTCGTCTTCCAGGGGAATCTCGCCTGGCATCGACCCGATTCGTAAGTGACTGCTCGGAGGTCAAAGACACTCCGTTTCGCAGTGCTTCCCTGGCTAAGCCACGTGTCAAATGTCACACAAAGCCATTGGATCTTCACAGGCTAAGCGTTGCACAGCTGGCTGAGCCCCTTCCTGCAAAACGTTAAACTCAGGGGTGCAACCCTGGCTGAGCCCCTTCCACATACGCATGGTGCTTTCGAAAAATAAGAATTATTCACAAATCTAGGCGTCCCACAAACTCAGCGTCAACTATGATCAGAAGAGGAAGTTGCTGCCGTGCCAATGCTGAATGAACCTGGCAGTCATTGGCAAGCAAAGCATTCAGATGCTCGAACACAAAGAAACATCTTCAGCTTCCAGCCCATGGTCTGACTTTGTTCTTATTGAAGCGGCCATCTGAAATGATGATGCTCATCTGGCCTCAGAGCTGATTCCTTCTCGTTTCGGCCGAACCCTCGTCGGTCTGAGAGCAACTGAGTTGAAGTCTGAAGGGTCGCGCTGGGCTTGGACCACTTCGCCTGGAAAACGAAAGGAGGACCGCGAGTTCGTTGGACCGTTCGTTGAAACCACCCGAAACATCCAACGTCCAACGTCTCAACTTCCCCACCGGCTGAAGCAATGAGGTCCATCCGGTCTGTCGTCTGGAAACGCAGGGCTTCCGGGCTCATCGAACAGTTCGGAACTGAGCCGCATCATATCTGCCAAGCTTCGATCATGGCTCCTAGGTTCATGCTTTCATAATATGTTGTCTTTTTTGAGCCATCGTTTCTGAGCAGCTGTCTTTCCTCTGCAAGGTCCACATCTAGTCTAATCAGCAGAAAAGCTGAGCCCACTTGGGATGTGGCTGCACAGATTCCTCTTCGAAGGTGAACCTGTTCGAAATGAGAACACTGCATACAATTGCATACACCACTGTCTGAGATCAACTGTTCTTGAGGACTTCAAGAATTGACCAAAGCATACCAAAGCTGTGTGGGCGCACTCTCGAAGAAGTGGTCCTGCTTGTGTCCAGTTGAAACTGTTGGCGTGGGGTTGCCTCAGCAAACAGTTTAGTCGCTCGATGCCCAAAACTCGATGGAAGCCTCCGCTGAGACTTTCACCCAGAACCCAGTGGAAGGAGAACCCGAGGAGATGCCTCAGACAGTGTGTCCTCTTTCGGTCCAAGTCTTTGTTTCGGACGGCCCGTTTAGGAGCGCAAATCCTCCAGTGCTGTGAGGAGGTGGAAGAACAGGGATCTGAATTTCAGGGCAGAATATAGAGTGATTGTTGGTGTTTTTTGCCATCCATGAGCACGCATCAAGTTCATGGTTGTACAAAACGAATCAAACTGATTGCAAAGGCAAACATTTAGATCATCATCATTTAGGTCTCTGAACAATCCACCGGTGGCAAACGTTTGGGCAGTTGACCTGTTCGTCACTACAATTGAATGCGAAATGGGATGCCTATTTGATTTCTTACATGCTAAATGCTATCTTGTGATTCTGTTGTTCTGTTTATCTCAGCAACTTAGATTAACTTCCTCTAATAGCAATGACCTCCACCTAGTAGCTTCTTAGAATCTTGTTACTATATAGTAACAAGAAGCTACTATTATAGGGTGGAGGCCATCGCTACTAGGAGTGGGAGCGGGTTTTTAAAAACGGCAATGAGGAGGGAAATTGCTTGATTGCACGGGTCCCTGGCACTCCCGAAAGCAAGGACTGCATATTCTCCAACCTCCAACTGGGCAAGGGCCTGCACCACAACAACAACGTCATTCAACCATACCAACTGACAGGCCAAGGGCCAAGGGCCAATTTGTTTCTCTGGTCTTTAGCTTTAGAAAAGAGATGGAAAGAAATGCCCTTTGGAAAAAGCAGAGGGAAAACCTGTCCATGATGAATTGCCACTGAAGCCCCATCCGGCCTGACATAAGACACAAAGAGTTTGTAGTGCGATTGGTCCGACACTGCATTCTTTCCTGAGACCAAGCTCTGGCTCAGAGCAGAAGTGCTTGTTTGGGGAGACTCCTGGAATCAAAGACCTTAGCAGCCTTATCAAAGTCCTGAGAAGAAGGCATGCTGCGTGAATTGTCGATGGCCACGACAATCTGTCAGACAGAAGAAACGCCCAAAGGATCTCCCCTCATGTTGCCAGGCTTGCAATATAGTATATATTATAGTTTCCATCCAAATTGAGCCTCTCCAAAAGAGGGGGACATCCCATCGAATCGGAGAAAATCATAGAAAAAACCCATCGAACCTTCATATATTTTAAGTCACGCTCGGTACTCTCGCAGAAGCCAGGCCTGGTACTCTCGCTTGGAAGGCTTCGTACGACGAAGCCATATCTTGTCTCTCCGATAATTGGAGGCAATGAAGGGGATCACCTGGATGCAGCTATTCCCTTGAAGGCAGCCACAAACAAATAACCTCTGGAGAACCTTCCATTATCTTCCATTCCCACAAACATGTCGAGATATGAAATATAGTAAACAAGCCGCTTGATTTCGGTTCTGGAAAGTTCTCGAAATTCAAAACACTGAAATTGAGGAACTACTGCCAAGTCTCCATTGAAAGCGGCTGTTGTTTTTTATTGGTTCCATCTTCGGCACCGCATCCAACAGCTCTTTGGAGCATCCAACTCTATGCAGCCAAACTCTTCTCATCGGGAGCCCGAACTCTTCTCATCGAGATTCGCTTCCCGGTTCGGAAGTATCCCTGGAGCCGACCTGGCGTGACGGGCGTGAAGCGACGGCTCGAGCCGTTCCGAACACCACCGAACATCACGGAACTGGTGTCGAAGACTGGACTGAAGTGACCCATTTTGGGGGAGGCAAAAAATGGCGGACTTACAGGTTGAATCAAGTTGAGAATGTTGGACCTTTTAAGGAAGACCCAACAAATTATCAACAAACTATCACAAAGCGACCATATCCAGCCATAACCAACCAACCTTTCACAACTTGGAACCTTTTTTGTCGCTCAAAAAAACGTTTCTCGGCGCTTCGTCGGCCTTTCAAGGTCGGCTCCAAGATCGTGCGAAGCTGTTCGCAGAGGGCGGCAGCTAGAGGCGATGTGCTCCTTTCAAGCCTCATTCATGATGTGGTAGAACAACTCGTTCATGTCAATGTCGGGTGGAAAACATGCAGGTTTGAGTCTTTGAGTGTATGAAAATAATGAAAATAACACATGTTCATATGGTCACAATTGTCCGGTCAAGTTAAAGCAACTGCAAGTTCCAAGATCCAGAAAATCCTTCAGACATGTCCTCCATGTATAGCACTCCAAGATCGAAGCTCTCCCCAAAGCTGCATGGCCTCGTGCTCTGACCTCGTGCGAGAGTCGTCCCACAGACCGGCTAGACTGCGAGTCCGGCCCAAATGGATACGTGTCCCTTTACCCCGTGGCGCTTCCCACTGAAAACACTGCTTCCCATGGCGTTTTTGCAACACTGTAAAATGAGTGGACTGGATCCCTAGAGGTACAAGTATACAGTGCTTCTCTTTCAGACTCGCAGTCAAGAATAGATACGATACCAAAACAATCCAAAACATTTATTTTAATTAAGTAAGGAAAAGTTTTGAAGAACAAAAGCGTGCCTCTTCTTCCATACGACCTCATCCTCAGCTTCGCCCTCCGCATCCACCTCCATCGCCTCCGTCGTTCGACGCCGCACCGCCCCGTGGTCGTTTTCGGCCGATGGCCTCGCCTGGTGTCGAGAGTCCCCGAGGGTCGCCGACACGTTGGACACGTTGGTGCCGCCACGGGGTCCCTCGATGCCACAGCTACTTCAGTGGAGATGATCCCTAATTCCTAATAGCAATGGCCCCCTCCAACCTAGTAGCGATGGGCCTCCAACCCAATAGCGACCTAGTTCTATGGAATCTAAAGAATCTAAAGATTATATACATGATTTCCTCTCCTCCAGCTGCATTTTCTCCTCAGTTTCCTGAGGAGGTGCCTGTGACAGCCTGCCTGGCGAAGCCGAACTCGGCACTCGCAGGGCATCGGCACAGAGCTGAACGCCCTGCTTTCACAGTCCAGCCTTGATCATCTGGAAGTTCACCTTCCTTGGTCTCCTCAAAATGCCAATCAAGCGGCATTGATTTTTGAATCGTCTGCCAGTTTTGCAATCGACAGCGGTGACGGTCGCGACTGTCCTGCAGGTGCATGCTTGGCCTGAAATCGACTGAACATGATTGAACATCCTTAGATGGTTCTGACGTTGCCGCTGGCCTCAATGGCTAACCTTTTTCACAAACTGGGCAACCCTACAGCTTCTGTTCCTGCTTTCCTGACCGGGTCTGCTGCGACTGATCTGCTGCGTATGAGTACTCACTCCCTGCTCCAATCAAACATGGTGTTCGTCTCAGATTACTCTATGACCTGAAACTTACACTTTGCCTGGTTGCTCCTCATCCATGGCCATTGCCTCATTCTCTTCTTCAGCCTACGAAATGCAGGTCTCATTGAAAAAATATGTGTTTTTGTAATATACAAAAGGGACAAAGCCCGGGAGTGCCACCATCTTCGGCAGAGAGGTGAGGCCACGGCCTCACCATCCTGCTCTGTGATTCCCATGGCTTTTTGATCAACGCCAGCCTCGCCAGTGTTTGGATCCATTTTCAGATCTGCTGTGAGTTGATCGATCTGGATGGTTTTTGCATCCATGATGTGTGCTGACAGATCCCGCAAAACCCATGCAGCAGAACAGCTGACGCGGGATCTGCCGGACTCACGGTCCAGGCGATCTGAGGTCTCCGCATTCTCCTTCGTCTCACCCAGCGCTTCCAGGCCACTTTTGGGGTCTGCCAAGTGCAGCCCTTGCCTGAACCGGGTGACCAATGGTGGGTGACAAATGTCGAACCCATCCGACTTGGAATCACCTTTCGGTCACACTGGTGAAGCCAGCTTCAACATGTTTCAACTTTCAACTACCACACTGCTAGTGCACTTTTGGCTTTACCGGACCTTCCGGGTTCTTGCAAACACCTCAGGCACTGGCTCAGCACCAGCTTCTTGCTGCTGGCCCATTGCCTTGATTGCGGTGGCCCCCCAGCAATGGATTCAACTTGTCGCAGGACAGCTCTGGGCCGAGCTGCGTCATCCCCACCATCTGCTTCGCGCAAAATGTCAAGCTTCTGCAAGCGGCGCTCCTGCGATCTGGGATTGGGCAGCACGGAAGTCATGGAAGATTGGTCCGCATACGCCCATATTCATTAATAGTATGTACTTGTATAAATGTAGTTATAAGTAATAAATGTATCTGTACCAAGGATTGTACTGGTATCGTCCACCCAAATCCCTTCTTACCAACCACTCTGCGTGTTGATCCTTGAGGAAACTGCTGAGCTAGCATGAGCTCCAGGCAAGGCTCGCTGTTGAGTCGCCAGATGGCCAGATGGTCTGCAAGGCCAATGAACCTGCTAGGGACTCCGCGGAGATGTGTTTCATAGTCCTCAAGGCCTGCAGCGGCCTGCCCGATGTTTCGTGCTTCCATCGGAATGTGCAGCATGCTTGGATCTACTGTTCGCTTGTTGCCCAATGCTGGGAAAAGACTTGAAGCAGTGCTGTTCTTGAAGGATTGAGAACGGATTAAGAAACACTAGGGCGGCACCAAAGAATATGGTTGAGAGGACTGCCACCATAACATAGTGAAAACTGTGCGAATGCATTCCGGTCAGATTCTTTGAAGGGACAAAACATGGACAACCCAACATACTGCGTGTAGTGCATTGGCTGGAAGTTTGGCAAGCACGGCTCACCCATGGGAAGCATGTCCATTGTTGGCAGATGCTGGAAGGGGAACCTTCGATAGATCTTTCGCAAGAAAAGGGTATGTTGGAGGACACGAATCTGTCACGAAAGGGTCAAAAAACGACCCGAAGGTCGACTCAGCAAGTAGAACTTGGTGGCACCCACTTTCTCAGAGACGGCCTTCAAACCTGAAGAACAGCAGGCAGGCTGCTTCAAAAGGTCATTGAGGGATGAAATGCTTGAATGTCTTGCATGTCGCTTGTGGCAGATCGTCAGCCCCAGCACATGGATCCTTTTCTCCGGCGTTTTCGTGGAGAGATGGTCCATGGGAATTGACGCGGGGAGATGGTGCAGATCTGCGCTAGCTGGTTCCACTTTCGCTTCCTTTCACGTTTTGACGGTCCTGGAAAAGCAAACGTCACTAGCGAGAAGGTGTACAAACATAAAGGGCACTGATCATCCACTTGCAGACAGCTAGCTGTGCTGTTCCTCCAGCAGGCCAGCAGGCAGACTACAGCGATACTTGCGGCTTGTGGATACAACTACAGAGTAAATTGTGGCTGCCCACCAACTTTTGGATGCGGAAGCTTGTCGACTGCTGTTTGTAGTGCCAGCCCCTGCTGATGCTAGCTTTGGTTGCACTATCTTTGATAAACTATGATAAACTCAACCTTGGCCAAGTCCAGCAAGCTAAGCGGTTCAGAAACTGTAATTACACTGTCGATATCCACATTGACTCAGACCATTAATGATAATATGTGTGACATCGACTGCCGTGTCTCAACCTTCTGCAAAGGAAATTTCAATCAGTGCTTTCTACCCAGAGCTGCAACCCTTCTCCTCACTGCCTTCTCCCTCTGCCGGACTGGGCCTTGATGGAGCCTGCCTGGCACATGTGCTTCAGCCATTTGCTTCGCTGTGAAGAAAAACAGAGTTTGAAGAAAAGCCGGGATGACGTCTTGTCTGCTGCTGACTTTTGAGGCTTGGCCTTGCTCCAAGGATACAGTCGGGAAAGTGCCGAACAGAGTCTACAAACTCATCAGACCATCCCAAACAAAGTACGTCTCCCACAGGATGTGTTCCACATCAAGAGAAGACATTTGTTCTTTTTTCTGCGAGTGATGGGACTCGTGTGAACTCAACGCAGTTCATTTCAAAGGCCAAAACCGTGTTGGTGTTTTTTTTCAAGTCGAGTTTCTGCCACAAAAAGACTCGACTCATCGGGTAAAAAAACAACTCGCCGTCCGACGAAAAACAGAGCTGACACTTTTAAGCGGCTGATGGTACTTCAGTTCGATCTCCACGCGAATCAGTTGCAGTCGCAGTGGAGCCTGACACTGGGTCAAGCTAGCTTTGTGCAGTTGCGCTATGAACAGAGGGTCCTCTGATACAGAGCTTGCAGAACCGGTCAATTGCAAAGGCATCTACAAACACGGTTGGCACTGGGGGGTCTATGTGACAATGTGGGTAAAGTGATGAGTCTGCAATATGGTCAGTTCGAGCATGCAAGCAAAACACTTTCATATAATATACAGTAATAGGTAGCTCATGATAACTCCATCATGGATGACACCATCAGCAGCTGTAGGGTGCTTACGCCACGTGACCTCGATTGTTTCTGAAACACTCAGCTGCACATACGCTGCAGAACTGCAATGTGGGTGGGTAGGAATTTCACAGAGCCAGGTTGCGTCATGTGTCCCTGGTCTCTGACCTCCTCTTTCATCTCCAGCTGATGCATCTTGGGCATCTTGCTGAGCTTGCGACCTTGCCAACATGCGAACAAATGGCTGCAAAAGCAAATAGCAAACATGTTTTGGATACAGGCCTCCCTAGTGCTGTACGTTTGCCTATTGAAGTCATTCCAAGCACCTTTGTAGATCTTTGCAGCACTGATGCACAAACTGGAACTAAGGGACGGCGAAATGTAGGGTCGTAGGCCGTCATAGGCTCTTTCTTGCTTCTGTCACCGAGCTCCAAGCTGAAAGTTTGCAGATTCCCCTGTGCTACCTCCGAACATTTGCTCGTCCTTCATTGAAAAGAATGTCCAACCAGGCGCTGTTGTCCAAAAATATCAGTGTGCAGGGGCAAAGGGTCTTCGCTCGCTCACTCACCAAGCTCCTGCTGCCGTTGCTGCGGAGCTGTGGTATCCTGACTTACTCAGTAAATGCGATGGTTCTCAAATTCAACTAAAATAGAATAGATTCAACTGTAGGAATGCTTCTTCACAGCATTTCACAGCTTACTGTGTTCTTTTATCTTTATCTTCATCCAGCCTTCCCAGCAGATGGCGTGCCCGGATCTCCTTGCTGCAGCCTCCCCACCAAATGCGTAGAGCTTACGTAGATGTGATGCCCTCAACTCACTTGGACCGGCACGGCTCTGGAGGCTTCGACCCGTCGGTCGTTTGCCTCGCCGCGATCGGACCCGATCGGACCCGTTCGACGTGACGCAGACCGTCCTCGCACACTCTTGGACTCGGACGCTTTCGAAGGATCGACGTCCTTGTTCTCGGCGTTGTCGTCCTCTGCTCTTCGCTAGTCTTGCAGCATTTCCATGAACCTTTTTCAAGTAAGCTGGGTTAAGATAACATGATGGATCACCTCCATGATCCTAAGCCAGCTTACCCTCATGACGTCTCATGACTTCATGATCCCAATCCCTCCCAATCCCTCCCGACCCCTCCCGATCCCTCCATTCTCCGATACTCAAACCTTAATTGTCCAAAGCTGTGGGGAAAGGAAGCTGCACATTCAAATATCTCAAGTCAACAACTGGATACCCAATTTCAGTGTCTTTTCTGTGTCAATTCGTACTATATACTCATCAAGGACCTGAAAGAAAGGTCAACATGTTCTACATTTCTGCTTGACTGTTTTGGCGCGCATGCGGCCACAGCCAAGTAACTTGCAAGCATGTCATCAGCACTCAAGCACTTGACCAAAAGAATGGCAGCTGCATGGCATGAATCCATTGTGCCGTGCCTGCCTGTTCTTCTTGTGGCTTGTCCTCTCCTTGAACCTAAGCTCGTTCATTCCAACGAATGCAGCTGCATCCAGAAAGGAAGCGCACTACGATACCGATATTCAATGGACTCCTCTGCTGGGTCTGAAACGCAAGGCTCCATTCCATCCTGCTCCAGCCTCAAATGTCGGCAAGAATGACTGGCCCAGATGGGTCCAGAAATACAACCCCCCTCCCAGAAAGTCTGGGCGATGAAAGCTGGGACTTGGGCGCATCGGGCCCATCCTCCAACTTTTCTTGCGGGACCTCAGGTGAAAGCAAGTAGCTACTAGTAACAAGTGCATCGCTACTAGTAACAAGGGCATTACTACTAGTAACAAGAAGTTACTAGTAGCAAGGGCCTAAAACTGGAAGGTGGAACGGGCGGAAGAAGGAAGGAAGCTCTCCAATGATTTCCTGCACACCGACTGGAGATGCTGTCTGGTGCAACAGTGGTCAAAATTGAATGGACCCTGGTTCTTTTCAACATGGTTCCCCAACTTCTGTTACCTGGCTGCCAGGCCGGGTAACGGGTCTTGGATAGTCATGTCTGTGGAAGACCCAAAAGGGAAGATCAACCTACCACGGCCAGGAAGACTCGGCCAGCTGTCAAGGGTGTGTACTAGGCACCCAATTGGACGGTGTCCAACAGCCTCGCTGGGTTCACGGCACCAGGCTCAGCTGCATCAAGATCACCCACTTCCTAGACAGAAGTTGATTCCCAAAGATGAGGAATCACGAAGACATGTGCCGCCACCAATGAAATGTTCCCCCTGCAATCTATCCATTCAGATTTACAGTAAGTACAAATGATGATTTTCATCCCAAAAGAGAATCTATTGTAAAGAATCATCAAGAAGGATGTGCAGGCATTTGACCGGCCTCTTCACATTTGCCTTCAGATCCTTCGTCTTCATCATCTTCACCACCCTCTCCCTCCATCTCGATGTCCGACTGACACACCCAAGTTCTTCAAGGACAGCCAGTTGAGTGAGATCAGAGTCCTTCTGTGCCTTGATAAAGTCAGAGTCAGCATCACCTTGTTCGCCCTCCCCTTCGCCTTGACCTCCAAACAGCGAAGGTGAAGACTCACTCGGCGTCGTGTCCCACACGACCGGGTCCCGGAGACCGCGGTTTGGGGTGATGAGACCGGTACGCTTTCAGCTTGGTACGCTTTCTAAGAAAGCACCTGGAGGCCTAAGAAAAAAGATACTCCGAAGCCACTCGCGGTATGAAAAAACGAGCTCACCGCCGTTCGCTCGTTGACACCCATGACTTGGCACACAATGGTATTTTGTCGTTTCGGTCAGTAGCAAGCCTGCCACTGTCGGGGGCATCTCACCCCACAGGCCCCACACTGTTGGGGGGGGTTGGGTGGGGTGCATGTGGGGGTAATAGTACTAGCGTTTGTCTTTGCAATTTTGTCGGTGAATGAAGACAAACAGCATGTGTTTGAAAGTTTGGAAAAGGAACCTCCCTGTAGTTGTAAAACTCGCTCTTTAGCTGTGCTATCTTCCCCTCTTGGTTTCTCGGATCTTTCCCTTAGGTTGAAAGATTTGTGTGTGTTTTTGTTCTCGGGCAGGGGGCATCATGCTGAAAGTAAGAGATTCAAGTGTTGTCACCCGAGTTCCTGGCTTTGTAAAAGTGTTTCCTGGAGTGAAATGCATTGGAAACGAGAGCGCATGGTAAAACCAACGGAATCACGAAAAAAGGAAAAAGCTTCTAACATCTTCTACCACAAACTTTGTCTTGCGAAAAAACAAGATGGAGCCCACGAACCCGAATGCAAACACGTTCCAAAAGCCAAAACGAACGTTTCGCACGAGACTTCCTCCAAAAGTCCAGCGGAAACACCCATCGGAGCACACACATCACGCAGCCCTGCCAAGCAGTTTCGCGATTCCAGCCCCTCCAAACGACACCCGCTCACACGCCAATCCCAATGTGACAGCGACATTCACCTCTACCACAACTCACAACCTCCCGATTCCCTGCGCCTGCCACGAATCTTTCCGCGTCCACACGTCTAACGCGCACAAAGTACTGCGCCTGCCACGAAATGTCACCTCCGTCACACATCGCAACCTCGCGATTCCCTGCGCCTGCCACGAAAATCCCACTTCCACACCTCAAAACCCGCACAAAGTCCTGCGCCTGCCACGAAAAGTAACCATGTCATCTCATGTGAGCTTCAACAAAATTTGCACCACACCACACGTTTGGAATGATTTCGACCCGTTCTGAGCACACTCCCGTCCACCAAAATCGGCATTTCAGCTGAGACTTGTCACGAAAACAGAGCTTCGATGCCACACCCTGAAACGCAAATCCCAATGGCACGGCCACATCCAACACCCCAAAAACACGACTCTCCAAACGCTAATCCCAATGGAACTGCGTAGCAAACTGCGGATCTCACAAAACGCTGCGCCTGTGCAGTGAAATGCATCACGCTTCTTGCGCGACATGTCCTTTTCACGCAAATCACAATGGACTCGCGTCGCAAACTAACACGTGACACATCCATGCATAGTCACTTGCAAAAGCTTCCCCCAATGGCAGCGCCTTAGCGACCTACTGCGGACGGTTGCGGACGGTTGCGAACGGTTGCGAACGGTTGCGAACGGTTGCGAAAGGTTGCGAACGGTTGCGAACGGTTGCGAACGGTTGCGGACGGTTGCGAACATAGAAGCAACGGGTCGCGAACAAGACTCTACCCCCAGACCCCCAGAGTTAAACGAGAACCCTTCGCTACGCATTCGGGAAAAAAAAAACAATGCAAAATGAACGTGTTCACATTGACCCCTCTGGTTTGACACACGGAGTAAATCTGCTGTGGACCTAGTTTCAGCAGCGAAAAGTCTGCCTCTCAGCCTCTGTGGGGATTCATAATATAAATCCCCACAGAGGTTGAGTTCATGCTTCTTCAACTTTATCGAGATGCCATATAAGCCTTTTCCACCACATTCTACCCATCCCATGCCTTCGCCTTCGCCTTCGCCTTCGCCATCTGCACCAGAAGGCCTCACATGGATTCACAAGGAACCCAGGCCAAAGGCCTATAAGCACAAATGCCTTTGGATGAAGAGTCAAGACCAAGAAGACCGCATTCAAAGCCATTTCGAACCACTGAACCACTGAAATCTGAAGATTGATCTCTAGAGTCTCGAGAAGCACACCCTTGTGGCTGCATCTGCACATCAAACTGTGCGTCTTTGTCTTCGAAGTCCGTCTTGTCTGGCTCCTGTGGCTCCTGCTTGTGTCGCATGAAGACTTGTACTCTTCAGCAGGATTGGTTGCGGAGCTCCTGCTCGGGAATATCTTCTTTCTCTACATCTTTTGCCTCGTTTTTGGGATCTTTCTTCGACTTACCTGAGAGGTCACGGCATCAAAAACATTTGGGCAGCCTGCTGCGGCTGCAACACAAGCAACACAGTGTGAACGCACAAGTCGATGGCTACAAGTGCTGTAGTACTATGATAGTTACTATGAACATTTCAGGAATGCCCTTGAATCAAATACACTTACAGCGTCTTACAGCATCTTACAGCCAAGTTGCTATCTTCCCCATCTTTTGCGGTGGTTTCCTGGCCGTCACTTTGATTCACTGGGAAGGATGCAAAATGTCAGAAGTGTCATCAAAGGCCGCAAGCGTTCACCTTCTGACTGAACCAAGAGACATGCGGATTGCTCTTCCAATCTGATGTCTTGCAAATGCGCCGAAACGTCCAAGACCGTGGAGCTTCTGGAGGCAATCTCGCTGGATGCACCGCCTCCCCTTGGCCTTCAGCACCATGTGCCTGGCAAGTTCTCATCGCTTTCGACACCGTCAGACAGGTGGTCCGTCGTGCGTGGACTCCCGACGCGGTCTGTGGACCCAGGGACTGGAAACATCAAATCGCTACACTCTGACTCTGACTCACTAACAAGTGCCACGCTAGTAGTAACAGGTGCCTTACTAGTAGTAACAAGAAGCTATTACTTTAATTCTAATAGCAATGCACTTGTTTCTAATAGCGTCCTACCCCCCCCAGAGTGTAGCAAGTGGAAAATGGTCCCTTTGGACAAGTGCTTTCCTGTACAAACAGGGACTTTCCACTTCCATCTTAGTCAGTCGGAGTCTATCCATAGTTATCCATGTTCCTCCGATCTGTCTAAAAGCAAGTGGCTGGCTTATTGCAAGGCAAGGCCCTCAAGTGGCTGGCTTATTGTCTCACCTCAATTTCTTCTTGAGGGCCTTTCTCCTTTTCATTGTTGGCATCACCTCTCAAAAAGGAATTTGGGATCAAGGGACACATTATGGCACATTGCATGCTAAGAACTATGTTTCATGTCAAAGTCTAAGAGCAAGTCCATCTTCTTCATCTTCCTTGTCGTCCTTCAAGTCGTGCTGCCATGTTGCCCAGCTGTTCGCATCCGTTCATCCGAGCTCCTCATCTCCGTTCCAAAGCTTTTCGTCCAATGTGCCACCTTTTGAGAGGTCGACCTCGCCTCAGATCGACCGTCCACTGAAGCCGGTCGTTCGGAAAACGGAGGGTTTCTGCACACATTCCCAAAGGGTTTCTGAGTGAACAGCCTTGTTGACGATCCAACTCTTGCCTTGGGACCAAAAAAGAAGACTGGTCGTTTCGATTCTGAAGGAGACGATAGGAGCTGTCTCGAGTCTTGACATCATCTCACTTCTGCCGCAACAATTGTGGTGCCGGCTCTTCTTCATTATCTTTCTCTTGGTCTTGCTGCTGATCTTCCTGACAAGAGAACGAATCGCTAACAATGCGGCTCTGTCGCGTATATTGATCTTCTTGGAGCTTCTGGCAAAGAACGAAGTGCCTTTCAATTGTCTCTTGATTGCTCATGCCTCTTTCTCCGGCATAGCCTTGGCTTCAGTGTCCAGGTCAAATCCAACTTCACGGGCTTTGTCCTGTATCGCTTGAGGCAAAGCACAGCAAACGTTGCACAAAAAACAACACTAACTATACAATAGATATTATTACTAGATCTAAAACAATTTGTTGAACCATCCCGTTGATCAGTGACATGAGATGCCTCTTCAGGCTTCGGCTGCTCTGGCTCAGGCCTTGACGGCCATTCGCCAACCGCAACGACAGCCAGCAATCCGAGCAAAAAGGACTCCACTTTTCAAGCTACGGACTGTTCTCCTTCCTTCTCATTGCGTGTTCCCTCAAGTTGTGCATCATCCTGACACGGCTCAAAACAAAACCAAGTGCGCAGAAAAGGACACCGTCTTGCTGTTGCAGCACCAACTGAAACTAGTTTGGAGCACCATAATTACGAGCCGTGCTAGTATCAGTTGCAGGAAGGCACTTCGTCACACCGCACCACTCGTACCACGCGACCCCTTAGCGCACGCTTGCCACATGCGCGCATGCGCGCGCGCGCGCGCGTGTTTTGGGCGGCCCGCGGCCTCGATCTCGTCGGTCACATCTCGAAGGCCTTCGCCTTGACCCATGCCGGTGCCAGAGGCCCACTCCGTTTCACCGCCTGAAGTGCTTTACGACGGGACGGACCGAGCTCTGTGAACGAGACATGACGCGGATGACGCGGGGGCGCTTTTTGGATCGGACCGGAGCTCTCAAAGTGGGGTTTGGAGTTGATTTTTGACGGAATAGAGTAAACAGACCAAAATGCTTCAGCCTATCGGTCCACTGTAACTTGACCTACTGCCAAATGTGCAATCGTATTCCCTGCGAATTCTGTAAGGTTTCAGTCTTCCAGAAAGGGGCTCTAGATGGTAGGTCAGATATTACACAGTTGAGTCTTGCATCACAAGATATGAAAGCCAGGAGCGAGCATTGTGAAATCCTGCAAAAGTATGATATCTTGAACCTGATGGTCACTTTGGATCTACCACTCCTTGCCCTGGTCATCATGTATCATTCTGCAACTATAGTCTTGCAATGATGTGGCTGGTCAAGGAGTTCCCCGACACACCTGCCATCAGTCATTCACAGGTACCTTCGCCATCTCCTTCCTTCTCTTCTTCTTTTGCATTTAGTCCTTTCTCCTGATCAACACAACATCCGAGCGAAGAGCCCTCATACCCTTGATGTTCAATGAAGATGGAGGTTGATCACATCCCCTGTTGAATTGGGGAAGTGCCAGCACAGCAGCTCTCTCCATCATGAAGCTCACCAGCCGCAAAATGCTCAGCCTCGGCTGAGCCCGAACAGAAGCAGCGAGTCCTTCCTCCGCCCAACGACGCGACCGAACTGGGTGGGGCCCGGGCGTGATCTGTGAAGCTGCAAGCATTGCTTCAAGCCCACCCAACAAAATGGCCTGCGAGAGCTGCAAGGTCCTGGGATGCGATGCGACACGGTATGTTTGTTGCATGAAAAAAAGGCGGTCCTTTGCTGCATGCAGAACAAGTTGAGGAAAACGCCGATGATTTGGAGAGATTTGGAGATCATGAAACAAATCCTTGATCCTTTCTTCTTTTTCTAAGAACACTAGGTGTGTGATGGTGTGTGTATGTAGAATCAAGGACTGTTGAGCATGCCAGACTGCAAAGGCTGTGGCTGTTTGACAAAAGGCCCCAATGGTGACAAAGTTGGCGATGCTGGCAGCTGGGTCAAGTGCAACCTCATTCAGCCAATGAGCTAGCCAGTGAGGCTACAGTGATTCATAGTAATTCTTAAAGAGTTTTAATGTTCAAGTGATGACAACATTATGGCTTCGATGTTTGTCCTCTTGCCGAAAAGGTGCATAATTGCCAAATGAAACTACTTGACCGAAAGAGCAGTCCCGAGTGAAATCACCAGAATGTTGAATCAGAGGCCGCTGCATCAGTGCCCCTTCGATTTGTCCCATCGGCAGAATCTCCAACCTCAAAAATTCCACCAAGTCATAGTTGGAATCTTCTGCCAGGCAGTCGTGAGATTCCAGTTCCGGTGGGTACCCACAGCAGGTAAAAAGCAAACATGGTCTTAAACTATATCTCTCTAGGTTCTCTAGGTCTTCTTGTTTGAGCCACGGACATCCTCGATTCTTTTTCAGGCTGTCAACGAGCTGTTGTGCCCATGGGTTTGGGGCACAGACAGGGATTTCAAGCGGCTTTCACGACCAACTCCAAGTTGTGGGACAGCCAGTGACTCCTGCCAATGGCTATAGCCCATGCCAAGTGACTGCCTGGTGTGTGGTCGTTTCGGTGTTCTGCCGTGTGTGGTCTCAGCCAGCCGTCCTCATCCTCACCGTTCCTGAGGGCAACAAAGCACAAAAGAGCTTGGCAACTGAGCTTGGACTGTGCACCTCTGTTTTTGCATCCAAGTAGCTCCACTCTGGCTGCTTTCAGTGAAAGGGATGGATCTGAGCTGTACGCCTCCATCGGTAAAATCGCTCCCACAAGAAAACCACGGAGAAAGGTGCCTCAACAAAATGATAAACCAAAAGCCGTCTCAATGGTTCTTATTCCTTCACTTCCCATATCCAAAGTCCCCTGAGATGATGGAATGCCTTTTGCACATCAGGGCAATTTGAGGGCATGCGGCATGAGGGCCCTGTCTATGTCCATGTCTGGCAGCCTGAAGGGCATGTTGTACTGCCAGTAGAAGCGTACGCAGTGGCCGGAGGGCCGTGTCTTCGTCAATGGCCCGTTGGTGGAGACCTGTGGCCACGTGTGCTGTTGGACTTGGGGGAAAGGCCGGGAATAATGGTCTGTGATGAGGGAAAAACACCAAAACCATCAAGCAGTTTTCCCATGTGTTGTCCTCATCCTCCAGCTGTCCGACCTGCTGTTGTCCTCTAGCCACGCTCGCGAACCCTGTGTCCTCTTGTCCTCCTGGTCTCCTCCTGCTGTCCTCCTGCTTTCCTCATGCTGTCCTCTAGCCACGTTTTTGAACCCTGTGTCCTCCTCTTCTCTTCCTGGTGTCCTCCTGCTGTCCTCTGGTCGCCTCTTGTCATCCTGCTGTGCTCTAGCCACGCTTGCGAGCCCTGTGTCCAACATTCTTCCGGAGCCGCGTTCGTAACGTCCTTGCTCCTAGTAGTGAGGCCAGGAGCCCCGTTCATAGCTTCTTGTTCCTAGAGTAGTAAGGCCAGGAGCCCCGTTCGTAGCTTGAAAAACCTGGCTGAGCGTGGGCCCAACATGTAACCAGTCCTGGGCCGCCCGGCTGTCAGGCGCAAGCTAAATAGAAAGAACACATCCTAATGGACCCTCTTTTGAGGATGTGGTGGGACCCCTCCCAGTTGGTGCTCATCCTTCAAAGAAGCATGTTCGCAACTTGACACTTGGATCTTTATGTCATCAGTAAGGACTCGATTAAGTAAGTCGTTCAGGGCCTTGGATTTGTCATGTCTGTCCTGCTTCAAAAAGGATAGAACATGAGAGACTCTGAGGTCAAGTCTATCAAGCTGTCCAAGATTTGCCTCCAAGTCCTCGCCGTGCCGAGGAAAGAAGCTTCGACAGTACAACTGGCCGACCAAACGATATGGAGCCCAGTGGCCGATATCAGCGAAACCATGGCTTCGTGGCATCAGAACGAGGACAGCACCCCAGTGGTGCCAAGCACGACCCTCTCGTGCGACGAACTGACGAACTGTGACATACGACGTGACGAACCCTTGGACTCGAAAGCAAAAAGATGACAAGTTGAAAGCCCCTTTGTGCGGCCCATGTCTTCTTCCCAATGAAGCTGAACCCAAGGGGAAGACTTCCACCTGACGTCCACCGTTTTCAGAACGACCAGAACGGGCCCTTGAGACCTCCAAAGACTCCTCGACTCCTCGACGAGACGAGGAGTCTCGACGAAGAACGACCGTCTCCTGAGCCGACGAGCTTAATGAGGTCACCACAGCACTGGGGACCTGGGCCGCGACAACAGGACACCTGTCTGTGGACGACAGAACATGAACATTGGGTTGACCTGCATGATCGAAAGGGAGACCAGAAATCCTAGAAAATGGGGTTCTCACTTCAAATCTTGAGAACGTGTTTTGTCGATGTGGATGTGCTTTCCATTGAAGCCCCGCTTGAAGACACCCCCGACATCTGTGGATTATCTTCCTATATCTGACCCTCAGTGGATTCTGGGTCCAGGACTGCTGATGCTGCGCTCAAGCCTCAAAAGTTGTTGGTCATCCCGCAGAACGCGAAGGGAGCGTCATCCCGGATGTTTGGGTTCCAAACACTTAGACATACTTACTTAGACTCTTGACATATCCTCACAAGCTTGAGAGAAGTCTTCAGGTCAGATGCCCCAGTTGAGCGGTTCTTACTGATAGGATACCTTCGTGCCTTACTGATAGTATACCTGTTTTTTGCCAAGAAGCTACTGCGCATCAGCTTGATGGCTTCCTTTGCCTGGCACTCATCAGAGTTCGTTCGGCTTCATCGTTCGCAAGAGTCGGGACTAGTCCAGGCCGGAACTGCTTCCAACCAAAACAGTGGCTCAGTTCAGGTTTTGATCCACCAAGAGTGGTCTTTGGCAAAAGGTGGTTTTGGGCAATAGTTTACAGTCATCGGAGTGCTCCGCTTGCGAAGTTGGCCAGGTTTTACCTGGTCATTGCAAACGTGAGCAGCGCTTTTGGCTGCCTCTGGCTCCTCAAGGTCAGTTGAGGACCAATGCATTTGGCCAATGCAAACCATCACTGTAAAAGATGGCGATGATCTGGAGAATCCACAACACCACGAAGCTCGTTGTCAAAGTGCCACTGACGGCGGTCCAGTTCAGACTCTTCACTTTGGATTTTCGCACCTACAATCGAGATGCCATCCATCATGCCATACACATCTCCATTGGCATCCAGCAACTTGGCTTCCACAAAGACTTTTCGCCTTTCCTGTTTGGTGACATGGCCCTCCAACAAAAGGGTCTGTCCCACACGCACGGGCTTGGAGAGTTTGCAGTTAATCTGCACGGTGGCTCCATCCCATGGCCCGGTGGCGGCGGCCAAGAAGGCCAAGTGTCCCAACAAGTCGTCAAAGGCAGAGGTCATAGCACCACCATGGCAAAAGCCCCGGTGGCTTTCGGCACTGGACCCAAAGACCACAGGACCTTGCAGTTTTTTCTCCAGAGGACTGTAGAAATAGCAAGGAATGTAAACAGCACTGTTTTCGCTGTGAATCAGGTCTGAGCCATGCCAACCACTACTTTTTCGCCAGTGACCATCCTCCCATTCTCGCATCCGGACCCTCAAGTGCGATGAGCTTTCTTCCAGCCACTTGAGCCATTCAGGCAACTCATAGGCTGGAAGCGCGTTGAACGCTTTCTTTCGTCTCAGTGCAATCAAAAGCACCGCGCTTAAAGCACTGGCGCTGATGGCACTCACCAGTGCCAAGCTGGGCGCAGGAACTGATCCCACCATCAGGCTCCGAGAGTACACAAAGGGAAGGCTTCCCTAGAGGCAATCATATAACAGTTGTCCAAATGTTTGAAACCTCCAAACCTTGCTTTCACTGGATTGTTTTCGGTCAAACGAACTTCGATGCTCATTGGAGGTTTTCGTGCCCCATTCGAACAATGTCCGTCATCTTTAAAGGCACAAGGCCTGCCATTGGTGCATTTTTGAGCCAAGTGACACGGCAACTGACGTCTGACCTCATACTTGCGCAGAATTGCGCCGACAAAGCACAGGTAAACACAGATTTCCCTGCAGCTTTCCCGGCACGCGGTGTCTGGCCAACACAAAAATGTGCTCCATCTTGAAGAGAGACCCTCCACAAAAGAGCTCTGTAAATGTTGAATTGCTCAGTGATTTTGATGCATCACAGGCGAAACAATGCGGTGTCGAACGTCCAACTGAAGACTTTTTCAGGCTCCGGATCCAGCAGCTCACGAGCTATCCGATGCACTTCAGCACTAACGATGTGATGGATCACCTCGGCTATGATCAAATCTGGATGAGTCCATGGTTTGGTCTGACATGTTCAGGCCCTACGCTTGTTTAACGGTCCAATACCAAAAGAAAAAATGTGAATTGGTATCTGAGCAAAGAATAGCAAAGAGTTATCATCATCCACTTGCAAAGCAGGAAGCCGGCACATTCTTGGCTGAGTACCAAAGCTTGTGATTTTCGGCCTTGGATGCACAACTAGGAGAGACCAAGCCAGGTGTCAAGCACAAACCAGAGTCCTTTTCTGAACTTGCACAAATAGGTCCTTTTCGTCAAGTTCTGCTGGCACAAAACAGAATCGCTCACCTTGAGGGATCTTCTGTGTCAGTATGCCACTTGAGAGTGGTACCAGTTTTGGGGGGATCTGAGAGGTATGGTGACTAGAGACTCAGAAAGGCTTCGTGATCAGACCAAGCGCCTGGTCTGTTGAAGCGTAGCGCTTCACCGCGTCATTGAGATCCTGACACCGAAACCAAGGCAATGGGCCCCTGAGAGTCAAGTAGGGAAGGAGGGGAGCGGGCAATACCCCTGAGAGTCAATACTGGCAATACCCCCGGTGGGTTCTTCAGTGAATCTCATCGACCGAACTGCTCCTTGAGCTTCTGAATGTGAGCAAACTCAGTGATCGCTTCGATTTCACCTGAAGAAAACCATGTTCAAGCGAGCACGCCGCGTTTGCCTCGGTTCTGACAGTTCTGACACGCCTTCCTCAGACATGCCATAGGGATTGTGTTGCATCTCCCAGCAGCCCAGCTGAAACGGTATGTTGTTCCTGGGAGACAAGGGACTCAACAGAAACACGGTCTGTCTACGGAAGCTTCGTTCCGCTACCAGAGATTCATAGGCGCTTTTCAGCATTCTCCGCCTCCATCGGATCCAAATCACAAAGGGTGGGTGACCACAAATAGATTGAAGATGATTGAAGGATGACCCTGAAAATTCACAGGAAATGAAAATGATGAAACTGTGGATCACTCGTTCGTCTTTCGTCACTTTAGTCAATCTCAGATTCCGAGTGGTTGCATCCGCTTGGCCACAGCCCGCGCGTCCATAGGCCACAACACCGCCCCGCATCACGCCACTCACCAGATTGGGATACCTGATGCTTGCCGATCGCTGAGCACGTGCTGAGTACGAGAGCGGCTCACGTGAGCCACCCATTGAGGTGGCGGAGACGTCGGCCACCCATGAAGGAAGCCAACGTCGTGGAAGAGAATATATCCACTGAGCTTGGGGAGAACAAAACTACTCTGTATTTCACACGTAATGTCCACCTCTGAATGGGGGAGTCCCCCCTGAAGTGACCTCAAAGAGACTTTTCAAATACTGTTTTAGTATTGGTAGTATTGGCCTTGCTTTTTGCGAACTACATGGAGTGAAACTAGATTAGTAAGGGACCTAGAAAGAAAAAATTGAGGAAAGTGCAGGAATTGAGACAAAAGGGCAATGAGTATCAGTATTATGGATAATATGTCTGCCCGCAAGAATATTTGGTTTTATTTAGGGTACACTTTATTTAGAGTATTGTGGCTTGTTGTGGGGGGGTACCCTTTCCAGACTGATTTTGATCAATTGTTGGTGGGTTTTGAATAAGACATTTATGAAGAATTTTGACTTGATCCGAAGGTTTTGGGGTTCGGTGAGTTCAATGAAATCAAGAGGGAAGGAAAGCAAAGAGAGGAACCCAAAGAAGGAACCAGTTAATAAAGAATTGAAATGCACTGACACTACATAAACGAAGCTAAAGGACAGGAGTCTTCTTCAAGACAATTTTGTTAAAGGCCAGATTGAGGAAATCTAGGTCCAGCGGTAAAAAAAATTAGCTTTGTTTAGGATGTATCTATAATTGTGTTTTGGGATTTGCTTAGCTTTACTCAGGGGGAATTGATAAAATCATAGGTCAACATTATGCAACCAGCAAATCTGAGCCGAGTGGCACAATGTCCTGGGAACAGTGGTCAGGCCACTCCTGCACTCATAGAATATATATATATATAATAGTAGTTGTATATTCTATGTTATTCAATCATATCAATGATGTGAGGCCCTATCGGCACTCAAAAAGGGGACCGGCATTCCAGTTGCTGTGTCCTGTCTTCCGCGCATGAATTGTGGGCATCCCACCGCGACAGATTTGGCGCTCTCCGTTGTACCCAAAGACTTCCACTGCTCGCGCATCAGGTGAATCATCTTCTTGTTGAAGACCTGAAAGCAAGTGTTCAAACACTATGAGCTCACTTCGTGGTTTTGTCTTTTCTGTCTGGAGCTCTTTGTCTCAGGTGCCGTTGTTCTCGCTCTTTGTCGGGAATGTCCGAGTCTCCACAGTTTTTCACACCTCTCACTGAGGCGAACAACGACTCTCGGTGCCGATGGTTAGACGGAGCATCTCATTGGCTTTCTTCAAGTGCACCTCGATGTTTCGAAGCTCCTTGCTGAGGCGAGCGATCTCGTCGCGCTGGCGGCTCACCTCTCCACAAAGCTCCGACTTCAAAGCCGACAGTTCCAGATCTTGGTTCATTTCGAAATGGTCACTATAGTCTGATCGATAACTCACCCACAAATATCGGTGGCGGTGGTCCAAGTCACTGATGTCGATCAGCAAGGACGCTTGCAAAACCAGTAAGGCCACAGAAAGGAAGAAGCCCGCAAGTGATATGCTGAAGAAAGTAGCTTCTGGGATTGGATTAGAATGCCAGAAGACTAAAACCAGGCTTAGAATGAAGAAAGGAAGCGCAGCAAGTCCACAAGCCCATCTCGCTTTTGAGGGAGAAAATCCAGCTCTGCCCATGAATGCTAAAAGTGAGCTAGGCAATGTCGGTCTCAGCATCAGAATCACAGATGCCCTGGCACGGCATTGCTGAAAGGCAAGCTTTGCTAGTTGCTCCTTCTCCTCATAGAACTTTGTGTACATGCCAATCGTCAAATTCAATAAAACCAAGGAAAAGCTTGAGGTCGCAAAGAGCATGCAAATCGTTGTGGCTTGCAACAACCACTGATTGCCACCTCCAGTGTACATCTCAACCCCAATGTCTAAGGACTGCTCATGTCCGATGTCCATGCCCGATATGGCTTGTGCCCCATTACCATCAGTCAGAAGCAATGCCTGGTACAGATTCAGCAAAACATAGGGGATGCTTCGCTCATCGTCCTTCATGATCAGAAAGGTCAAGGCAAAAGTGAAAAACATCATTCCCATGAAGGCAAACATGCCGATCATTGGGGCAAAGGATTGCAGAACAGCAATGATGAGAGGCCCCACCACGGGAAATACGCGAACTTCCAAAATCATCCAGAAGCACCTCAGCAAGAGGTTCACTGCTGCTAGAACTTTGGCCTCTGGGGTGTTCACTGGATATTTGGTCATGGCCAGCACCAGTACGATGAGTGCAAGCCAGTTGACCATGGTGAAGATTGCAAAATTATACACATAAGTCATTTTCGGAATTTCAGCACAACGGCAAAACGCGAAACCATAGACCAAATTAGCGCCTTCAAAGAGAATATTTGCCACAATGATGCTCCCGATCAGAAGATCCGCATCGCATCCAAATGGACAAGCAAGCTGCAAGCCCACCGCAATGATAGCAGCAAGCAAAACTGTTGCCCAAAGCATGCAAAAGTACCACACGTGCGCATGACGATTCCACAGTCCTAAAACCACTGCTTTGATGGGAATTTGGGCAAAGACCTTCATGTTGTCCCAGCTGTTCCACACCATCGAAAGGATGCTGGCTACTTTCAATTTCAGGATGTCAGAAAAGTACAGGACTTTCACCTTGACTTCGTAGACGTGCGTGTGAAGCAGTGCATCATTTGGCAGTTCACGCCGAAACTCTTTGTGCCACTCAGGTGCAACACCCGGCTCTATTTCTTCCCAGACTGGAAGATCGTTGCTTCCTTCTGGCGGCTGGTATGTGCAAATCAACTCCCGATTGGGAAGGACGGTGTACAGGGGAAGGTTGTACCTTTGTGGTTTTGTCACCCGTGGCTCGCCCATCAGCAAGTCGAGCAACTTTGCTGCAGCGATGGGAGACATCCTCAAGGTTTCCACAAACATCTCTATATGGCGATCTGGGTGGCTGAGGTCCTGCTCATACGTCCTCAATTCTGCGCGAAGACCTTCTTCAACTTGATTTGGTGCAAGCTCTTTGACTTTGCCTAAAAGCTGAACAGCTGCGTAGGGATTCTCCTTGGCGATGGTGTTCACTTCTACAAAGAGTTGACTTTGGGTAGGAAAATGATACGATTGCGTGAGCAAATGAAGCAGTTCCTTTGGAAACGAGGATTCAATTCCAACTGCGATTTGCAAGGGAGTCTTGCATCGAACTTGTTTCGCAAATGGATGATCTCCAGGCAAGTGACTCACCTTCGCAGCGGTACACTGTCACAAGGGGCCACAGCACCCTCAAAATTAAAGTAAATCACGGGGGTAGCCAAAGTACTTTAGAATAAAACATAGGGGTCCAACCTTGCAAATACATAAGCTGACGAAGCTATCAGAATACCCGAGCGGAGGTTACTTGATGAAAAGGCAATGTGCAGTTCCAAGGTGAAAACTATTCTTGCTTGCGTATGTTGGACGTCGGCGCCCTGTCCCCCCTCAACCTGACCTATGTTAAACACCAATTTTCAGTACTCGCAAAACAGAAAGCCCTCTTCCTGCATCGTCCGGTCTGTGTTCGAAGTTTGAGATCATCGAATTTTCTTGCAAGTCGTGTGTTGGACAAGTTTTCTGTGGTTAGTTGGAGGTTCGAGTGGTCGAGCCCTTTTTCAATTCTATTCAATAACACCATATAGAAAAGAATTGGCTGGGCTGGTTGGCTCTTGGCAGGGCTGGCTTGGTGCCAGGCAGAGTTCGACACAGAATTATCTGCAGTGCCCCAACCTCCAACCACAAAGAACCTGTCTTGGACCATGTCTTCCCAGATTCTATTTGTATCTGGTCCGTTTTAGACATCGGGGGAATTTTCGTGCGAAAGCTGCGCTTTGGTATCTTGATGTTGTCTTTGGAAGCGCTCTTGGGGCAAAACGCCTTGGCAGGGCTGCGTCATGTCAATCTTGAAGAGTACATTTCGTGGCAGGCGCGGCACTTTGTGAGGTTCTCCAGTCCGCCCCAAAAGCGTTTGGACAAGAAGTCGCCACGAAGCGGCGTGGCACAGCGGATAGTCCAGTGCCACCACGCCCCACCGTCTGAACAACAGTAGAGCCGTCCACCAACTCTCCACCCCTGGAACGCGGTCACAATGAATGATGTGATGAACACTGTGTCCTGCAAGATCGCATGGATCGCGTCCGCGACATGGCACAGTTGAACACTGCAACTCAAAAGATGACCTTCCAACTTGACCTTCAGGTCAACCCACGATGGGGATGACTCAGTCATCTGGGGCCACCGGAAGGGCGTGGAGCACTGCTGTACGAGGTCATTGTAGCGCTGAACGTCAGCTTGACCAACGTCTTCACCATAAACAGGTTCGGGTGACAATAACCTGTTGACTGCGATCGCACCAATGACCTGTCACTCCTCACATTGATGTAGGACAAGGCGTTGGTCAACACTTAGTCCAAAAACCAACCTGGGAAGGGAGACTGCACACGACGATCGCCTCCATCCAAGATCAAGCTGATCCAATCTGCGAGATGTGCTCTCGAAGCGCCTGGTGCAGTGGGTGGTGAGCAGGGTTGCTCCCCAACGAATGCCACGGCGACCCCGTCGTTGAGCTTGTCGCCGGCCGTGGGAGGCTCATGGGTGTGGTTGAGAAACTCTTGAGCTGCTTGGTTTACAGGAGCCACCTGGCTTGATGAAGCGGTGGTGGCGGAGCCTTCTCGGCTGCTGGGGCTTGACCTGCATGTTCAGGAACTGTTGGCAGAGGAAGGTCTCCTGGCCGGAGCTCTGCGAGACGACTCATCGAGCTGGACCCAAGAGGTAGAGGAGGCTCCATCATCCCACCTGGATGCGGCGTTCGCCACCTGCCTTTGAGAAGCGGCAGGCCAGCTCATGGCTCGAGTGAACACCCAGGCCCCTAGACCAAAATGCTCTCACCTGGCGTGTCACTCGAGCCGAGTCGACTCGCCAAAAAGGCATAGTGATTGAACGATCAAAAGGAAATAAAAGCCGGACAACTGAACAGTTTAGTCCGAAGTTGCACTCTTGATCCAGACCTACCTAACCGTTTATCAAGAGCCTGAAAATAGATGAAAATAGTATCAACAGGTTCTGAGGTTCAAAAGCCATTGCATCAGTGCTGATGTTATTTTAATTACAAAATATTATCCAGCATCTGGCCTGCCTGTCTTTTGGAATAAATTCTTCGAAGCCAAGGTCCAAATCGTCCAAACACAGGCTTCATGTTTAAAATAGAGAATTAAAGAAACCAGTGTGTTCTTCAAACAATGGTCCCGAGGTCCTCAATTCTATTTTGGGATAGCAGACCCCGCTCGCCGCTCACCTTCTGAAGCAAATTCGCTTTCTTGTCCACCACTGTATGCGCCACACGCTCCAATGCCGCATTCCGGAGTTCTGCTGCTACAGAGGGCAAGGCTGTCCATGCAATCATGTGAAGCGGAGACATGCCATCGGCATTCACAAGCGAAGCAGTTGCAGGCACTTGCTCCAAGATCCAGATTGCAGTTTCAATCTGACTCATGTATAAAGCCGCGAGCAAAGGCGAATAGTGCATGTTGCGTGCTGATTCTCTTTTTATTCGGCCGTTCTCTTCCCATACTTTCGTGGTCTCTATGATGGACCTGTAGCACAGCACATCAGGAGAGCAATGGTTTTGCAACCATTCGAGCACTTCGATGCTCCCAAGACTCGCTGCCAAGTGAACCGCGTGGATCTTAATCTTTACCTTAGTCTTCTCCTTGATGGTATTGTCAGAAGTATTGTCAAAAGGTTCATATACAGCTTCCCACAAGTCTGCTGCTAAAGTGTCTCCCTCTGGCGGTGCCACGGGGTCCAAAATGTCTGAAACGTTTGTGGCTCCGCAAGCTTCTTCGATCAATTCCAAAACTGGGCTGCCCCGAAGCTGATTCTTCTGTGTTTGAAAATAAGGAATCTTCGTGCATGGAAATTTTGAATCGGCCCTATTCTGTAGCTCACAGTCACAAGAGGTGGGGCTGGATCGCGGCCACCCTAAATGCTGCAAACCCTTCTGCTGCCATTCCCCAAGGACCCCAAAGGAATCTGATTCCTGCCCATCCAAGAGAGGCTGCGACAAATCGTGGTGTGTGGCACCAGCATAGGGCGACCATTCAGGATCTGGAGCAGCCATCACGCAGTCTGGTACACTGTCCAACTTGAGCCAACACAAACTGACTGCACATAGCCTTTGAATACTGTCTGTTAACTCTCTCTCTATATATATATATAGTGTATATGTAATATATATATATATACAAATATCGTCTTGGCCGAGCCACAAAAGCATTGCCCCACATGAGCATCAGTGGACCATTGACGCTATGTTGCCTCATCTCAAAAGCATGTTGAAATGCCTGGTATACATGGAGTCCTTCTTTGTTGGAGGTTCCTTCTGGCCGGAATGTTTGACTTTAGGGTATGCTTCGGAGCTGTCCTTGAGGGTATGCTGCGGGTATGCTTCGTGCGATGTGAAGACAAAAGCTGCTGCAATTTCAGAAAGTATGCGTCCAGGTATGCTTCGGGGGAATGCTCTGGGGTATACTTTGCCTAAGTCGAACATCCCTTACTCTCACCGTAAGAACCTGTCGTTCGGAGCAACCTGTTTTTGGAAAAGCAAAGCCACATCTGCATGTTCCTTTATCCGAGTAATCACCAAATCAAGACAGAAGAACTGTGCCAAAGCAAGCCACTCTGGAGACATCCCCTTTCGGAGAGTACGCAAGTAGCCTTGGCCACGGCGGTGATGGGGCTGGAGCGTTCACTTCAATGTTCATTGCCGGCCAGGGGCTTACAATGGCCAGCCGGCATCGGCTTGGACTCATGAAATGATCCAACCTTGAATGTGCCGACAGACTTGGTGAAACATGCAAGTCTAAACCTGACAAGAAAGAAGCCACAAGAAACCCAGCACATGTGGTTAGGTTGGTTGATTTCGATGTTCAATAACCTCAGCTGGAGACTCCGAGTTGATGACCCAATCCTTGGATCAGGCGAGCCCGACAGCCAGCGCGTCACGTCCGTGGTGACTGCTTCCAAGAAGCGTAGTCGTCAATCAATCCGGTCCGCAGCATGTGATCCCAGCTGGGCATCAGGCCGACCATGTTGCGATGATACCTCAGCCGTGCTCCGCCGAGGCGGTTCCGCCGAAGCTGAAATCCACTCCCAGCCGTGTGTAAATCACAGGACCGCAAGGATCTCAAGAAAACAAATCCTCAATGTCTGTGTGTGCTTGGTCGGTGTGTGTGTGTGTATATTCTCATAGCCGAGATGCAGCCACATCCCATCACTTCTGGACACACGTTGTTCCGGCACTTTTACAATGATCACATCATTTCTTTCTTCCCCATGTGGATGGCGATCACCTTGAAGCTATTTGTGGTCCTACTTAAACAACAAAACGGAGAAGCTGCTGACTACAGACCATATGGATCCATATGGTGCGTAAACCCATAAAACATTGTATATAAAACTAATAAAACATTAACATTGATTCAAGTGTCTGAAAAATGCGTGTCCGTCGCACTTGCTGTACTGCTTTGTCACCTCCGATAGGACAGCCTCACAAAACGCATTCCAAATCCAACAAGGATATACTGCAATCCAGTCAACTGTATGGAGCTCCAAGTTCCAACATGTTTCCATGTGGAAATCTTCCTTCGCCCTGACAGCAAACCATGACTTCCTTGCCTCATCCCCACCACGGAATGGCGTCCAGGCAAAGCAGAAAAGACGGATCTTGGCGGCCTCTTCTCGCACGTCCTCAGGCGCCTGCACGAAGTGCACGCGCACGGAACACATGTCCCAAGGCTTGACGGTGCTTTTCTTCAAGGAATGACTGCACCGAGGCCATGGTGCATTTCGTGCGGATGGCCGCATTCGGCAATGCTCTAGTTCACATTGTGTCGTTTTTGACAGTGAAAAGAATGTACTTTGGCCTGAAATCGATCAGCCCATATCTTGTTCGGGCACCGCAGCATGCTTATCAAGCGCAGCCAAAAAACACAAGGAAACGGGGCCGATGAAGAGCCCTTGTTCACAAGGCTGAGCAAGAACCTTCAGCATGTTCCTCCTGAAGCGCCACAGTAAAGGGAACTGCAAATTCAAGAACAGATGTAGCAACTGCACAGTAGCCATCGAGCAGCAGCAGCAGCAGCAGCAGCAGCAGTAGCAGCCAAGGCCCCCTTCACATTCGGATGCCTTGTAGGAGCAAAACCTTTCACTGCCACTTCTCCGTCCACCCTTTCTTCTACCAACATCTATACAGCTTCAAGCTTGCACAATACTGCACATCGGTGCAGGGTCAGGCAAGAAAGCCTTCTTGAAAGACTCAAGACTCAGCGAAAGTCTTGTTTCTCAAGACCTCCAACACTCGGCTTTCTCCGTCAACACTCGACGGCTGAAGAGCTTCCATCGCCGCATGAAGGCAAAGCGACGACAGCTCCCTCAGGACTGAGTCAGAGGGAGCTGGCAAACCTCCCAGCCCCTCACTCACCAGGGACATTTGTGCGACCCTCCGACCATCCACGCCGACGTTCGATCTGGCAACCGGGTATTCGAGGCATCTTACGTCGGCAGCAAGCCTATCACCAGGGGCATCCAACAGCAAGAGAGCCGATAGTGCCGAATTAAGATTGACAGGAAAGGGAATCGATTAATGAAAGTATAAGTATGTGTGTATATGTATATACTATCAATTCTGTATGTATATATATTCCTTTATGATCCTTTATGGTATTATTTCCGAAGAAAGAAAACAGCACGTTCTTTTCCTACTATTTCATGGGAGGCACACGCGAACCTCTGAGGCAGTCCTACCAAATTCCCTTGAAGAACCGTGATTGTGAGAAACGATTCTTTTGGCAGTGAGACTTATTACGTACTACTCGAATGCCACTGGCATCTTTCAGTCTCTGACAAACCTTGTGCACTCCAGGCCTGGTCCCAAGCTGCTACTGGCTTGAGAAGTTTCCCAGATGCACCAACGCTGTCGACCTTCCCTTTGCAAACGGGCTTCCTCTCAGAGCTGAAGACAACTTCGCCACCTTTCTCCCTCGAGTTGAAGAAAATATCTCGATCTGTGGCCCGATAGATGCAACCCGGAGGATCCGTGTGTGCATTAAAGGGTGTTTTTGACATCATCTTCCTCAGTCGGACGCCTGCTAAGCAGCCGGGCAATTTGCGATGCTTTGCTTTGCGGTGCAAAAATAATGGAATGTATAAACCCAACGATCTGTACTAAGCAGGTCTTTTTCATTCTTTTTCTCTGTCGAGCCACTTTTTCAAGTACTCAGCTGCCGCTAGGCATTCTTCGAAATTATCCACCTTGGTGAGAAGAAGTAAGATCTTAAGTCTTAAGAAGTGTGTGTGTGTGTGGACGGAAAGGATATTGGATCAGGGTGTGCGTTTGGCCATTGGATGAGGTGCAACTTCTGTTTCACACTGGATGTTTGCTGTCAAGTTGAAATTCTACAAGAAGGGTGTAATCCAAGTACCACTGTGTTCGCATCAACAACATTCAACAACATGGTAACATGTACGTTTGGAACTCGGAAAGCATGAACCCTTTCAGAAAGGTTTTGGGTGCGAAAAGAAAGAACCAGGGAGCGAAAAAGAAGTTCTCTTGGCCCATGGACTTCACTTAATCACATGGTCATCCGATGTTGTGAAGTCGATGGCAACAGACGATGAAACCGATGATGTTAAGTCGTTGTCCAAAAAAGCAACGCCGCTCGAGTCCCATGTGTAGGCCAGCTACTACTAGTGTCCTTCCTCCTAGTAGCGATGCCCTTTGTTCCTAGTAGCGCCCTTGTTCCTAGTAGTAAGGCCAGGAGCTACTAATAGCATCCCTACATATTAATAGGGGGGACCTAAAAAAATGTAAGTTACATTTTCCCTGGGGGGGTATGCAAAGTGAACCTAAAAAATGTAAGCTTACATTTTGCCTGTAAGTCCTAAAAAAATGTTAGCTACATTTGTTGCTTATATCCTAAAAATGTAGCTTACATTTTTTGGTTTGTTAGAATGTGAACTGCATATCCTGCATGACATCTAACCCTCACACTGAATGCACACAAACTATCAAAAACTCGTGTCATGATCTCTAGAACTTTGGGTCCAAGCAAGGCAGGGTCAGAGAACCTACCCCCTCTCCCCATCCCCAGCCAACAGCCCCCCAACCCACAAGAAATGTAAGTTGCTTTGTGATAGGTGTCCTGGGAACCATAGAAATATAAGACCCAGGCCCTAGAAAGTTCAATCATCTACCTTTTTGCATCCTTTGGTTAGCCACTAAACCGAAATCACCACCTTCCCCCCCAAGAATGAAAAAATGTAAGCTGCAGTGGGTTAGGCCATCAGAAATCCATAGAAATACAGTGGAAAGAGATGGAAAGAGGCACTAATTTTTAAGAATTTACCTTTTATTATGCCACCAAGCTGCTGCAAACTAGGACCAAGCAAGGTAGGTTAGGGAACCTACCCCCTCCCCATCCCCAGCCAACAGCCCCCATTTTTGACCAGAAAATGTAAGTTGCTTCGTGATAGGTGTCCTGGTAACCATAGAAATACAAGAGCCAGGCCCCAGAAAGTTCAATCATCTACCTTTTTACACCCTTTGGTATAGCAACTAAACCCAAATCACCACCTTCCCCCCCCCCCAAGAATGAAAAAATGTAAGCTGCAGTGGGTTAGGCCAACAGAAATCCATGGAAATACAGTGGAAAGAGATATGAGCACTTAAGAATTTACCTTTTATTATCTTTTATTATGCCACCAAGCTGCTGCAAACTAGGACCAAGCAAGGCAGGTTTTAGGGAGCCTACCCCCTCCCCATCCCCAGCCAACAGCCCCGCAACCCACCAGAAAATGTAAGTTGCTTTGTGATAGGTGTCCTGGGAACCATAGAAATACAAGAACCAGGTCCCAGAAAGTTCAATCATCTACCTTTTTGCATTCTTTGATATAGCCACCAAATCACCACCTTCCCCCCCCCCCAAGAATGAAAAAATGTAAACTGCAGTGGGTTAGGCCAACAGAAATCCATAGAAATACAGTGGACAGAGATATGAGCACTTAAGAATTTACCTTTTATTATGCCACCAAGCTGCTGCAAACTAGGATGGTCCAAGCAAGGCAGGGTTAGAGAACATTTTGTGGCACCATGAGGTTACAACCCCTAAAGGAAAAAAAGTTGAAGAATGCAAGAGTTGATGGAAAAATGTAGTGTTGGAATTGATTAGACGCCCTGCAATACCTGAAAGCACGACACAATGAACCATGTTATATATTTAATGTTTGTATTAATATGTATTATATAATATCGGTTTGCTGTTTTTTCCGTCTTTCATCATCTCCCACATTCACCGCTCCGCGCCGGTTGGCATCTTGTGCCGTTGAGCCTCTGATTCAGCTAAGCAAACCTCATTCTTTTAGCATTGTTACGGACTGCTTCTTGCATCTTCTTGCTTCTTCTTACCTCATTGATTTTCAAGGGGGGGGCAGAAAATGTAACTTAGGACGTGGGACGTGGTAAGTTACATTTTCTCCAGCCCCCCCCTAAAATTTCTAACTGACACACACCAGCCAGCACCTCATTTCCTGGACAATTCCCAGGAACATGCACGCAGGGACATAGCCAAACACAGCCAAAATCTGGGGGGGGGGACCATGAATATGGCCTCTGCTTGAATAAGTAGGGCCCAAAACGAGGGGGGGGTCAACATACATTTATGGGGTCCCCCGGAAATTGTAAGTTACATTTGTTTTAGGTCCCCCCCCCCCAGAAGTGTACCTAAGAGGGTAGGGATCTAATAGCGTCCTCGCTAATACGTCTCACCAACATCACTGGGTTCACTGAAATCACCTGGGCTACGACGACTTCCGGTACGGCGACATTTGCTGCCATGACGCCTGCTGTGCACCTGGCATGCATGGCATGCAGCTTTCGGATGCTTGTGCAGGGGCTCTGGATTGCCACCAGATCAACCAATCTCATGGTTTGTGGGGATTTGGCTTGGACCCATCCAGGCAGGACTGGTGATCAAACTGTGACTGGTCAAGACTCTTGCAGGCCTTTGGGGCATCCACCAGATCTGGGCAGCAAATAGCCAATCTCTGAGGACGGTGACGAAGTTGTCAATGTTTGCAAATCTGTAGCTTCCTTCGAGAAAGGGATCAGAACTTGGAGAACCGCAAATATACATGCTGCAGCTTAGGGTCAGCTTGCGAATCCATGGATTTCATCTCCACACTTGCAGCTGGGCCTTCGGTGGCCTGCACATGTGCACGGGGGGTCCAACAAATGGTCCACTCCAGGAGGCAGTGAAATCCAAAGAGATCAAAATACCTTAAACAACCTAACCTAATAGCAATGGCCTCCAACCTAGAAGCAATCGTAGCAAAACCAACTCCTGCCTGAGTTTCGGTAGTTTTGACTTCTCTGGCTTCAAGTCTCTCTGGAGACATCTCCGAACGTGCCGGAGACTCGGGGGCCGGAGACTCAAGCTGCAAAGGCGGAGGCGTCTGCCTTGTCCAGAAACATGTTGCAAGGATGGGGAAACGGGCAGGAGTAGAGACTAGGCTTGTTTGCTGATCATACTGCACGCACTAAACAAGTTTGATCAAGTGTGTCAGACGTGTCGAAAACAAGGGAACCTCAACAAACAGTTTCCAGCAAAGCATATCCTTGCCGCAAGCAATTCACGTCTTGCAAGCATTCTTGACAGTCCCAAATCCATTTCATTAACTAAGCGGCTGCGGCGTGTCTGCTCCTGAATCCACATTTGTAGGTGGAATAGGTGGACCAGGAACTCCATTGAGAACGCTCACTTCGGTCTGAATGCCCGCCAAATAGAGCGTGGCACAGAAACTGACCTTGGGTACTCATCAAACCTGTCCCTGGGTCTGTTCAAGAGGGTCGTGGATGGTCTTGGCATCCCCGAATTCGTTTGGCCTCCGTGAAAAATGAACAGAATGAACACATAGATGAATGTCCACAGATTCCGTGGCTATTGAGCCCATCCGTTCTGGTACTCCTTCCTGCCTTCATCTGCCTTCCATCCCTGGTTTAAGCTGTCAAAGGAACCAGGTAGCATCCCACACTTCGAGCACTGATCGCATCGCACCTCTTCGGCCTTCGTTTTCAGTCAAAAAAAAACACGAAAATAAACACCACAGGTGAAGGAAAATCAACATCAAATCCTGCGGTTCCTGCGCTCAAAACACGGGTCTGCGGTTCCTGCGTCTGCGTCCCTTGCTTCATGCATTCCTGGCCTGCGGCTTTGAGCTGCGCGCCTCGGAGATGTTTCAAGCTGCAGCTTTTTGAATTGCAATGGGTTGCCCGAAGAAAAAAAGAGCCTACAAGTCTTGTACTTGAGCTGCCTGGGCCAGCAAAAGTTTGAGTTGCCTTTTCCTGCATTTGTCAAATCTTGGAATGGGATTTGCGGGACGTTTCGCTTGTGCGGACCACATCCGCCAAGAGGCGCTCGGTCTTCGGTCTCCTCGATGTCCACCTCGCCTGGACCAACGCGCTCGGCCTTCCGTTTCGACGAACTAAAACGCCAACGGCGAGGTGAGAAGAATCTGAGCGTTCCACCACCCGGCGAAGCATCGCGACCGTTGGGTTGCGAAGCATCGCGACCCATGGCGATCCAGATACATCATCGAAGACTAGGTACTGCATGGCACTGCGTGGTCCAAACACGCATGGAATTTTATCTTTGGAATGTGAAAGTGGTTGATTTCGGAATATTTCAGGTGTTGATAGTGACTCCGCTGTCCGTCTTGCACTGGTGCTCTCTGGTTTCACTATGTTTCGTTGTTTGTTTGTCTTCTTGGGCTTTTGAAAGCGGCATTTGCTTGACTGACTCATGAAATCTAGACGTGGCCACCACTTTGTGTGACCTTGGTCCGATCAACGTGAAGCTCTTCAGCATCATGAACTGCCTTGTTGATACCAACAGACTGACATGGCATGCCATCTGCCGGCAAAACAAGACCCAACGCATCCCAACGCCGATCCCTCGACCGTCTCCGGTGAAGCGATCTGCTACGTGGATCGCACTCGATGCGAAACCGCGAAGGAGGTCTCAGGCCTCAGCGACGAGGTTCTCCAAGAAGTGTGCCTGTCAATTGCACGGAAGGTCTTAGTGTTTTGTGGCCACACTTCTGCCTGAAACGCGCCTGGCGGGGGACCAAATGAAACTACCAGAAGCGTGGCAGAGGTTTTATGATTCTGATTGGAAGGTCTTGTGCCTCATGTTCATCTGTCTGCACAAGGTTCTAAAAATGAATCCAGCCGTGCCTTCACTCTCACGTGTTCCGCCCCCTCCGGATCAACCTGACCAGGCAAGCGACGAGCTGCGGTGAGCTTAACCGCCTTCGTGTCTAAGTCGCTGGTTTCTATCTATTTACGGCCTGCGAGGCCAAAGATTGGAACTCCTCCGATTGGTGCACCTGAAAAAGGGAAAGAATTGCAGTACATCAGTGCATGAGGCATGTGACACCTTGAGGGGGAAAGCATGATTCCAGAACTTGAAGGTTCTTCATGAATCTCCATTAAGGGCGTAAAGCTGTGGCATCTGAACATCGTTTTCCGTTTTCCAAGACGACGGATCAACTGTGCCAAACCGCTGCTGTGCGGACTGCCACACCCAAGGCGCGTGCAAAAGTCACCACCGAGTGGAAGGAGGAAGCAAGAGCATCCAACTCGTCTGTCCTTTGAGGTCTCCGGGGAGGGAGGTCTGAGCACATGCCAAATCCATCTAAAGTGGCACCCCTGGCACTGCCACCTAGCCAACTCCAGAATCTAAACCACATCTTGGGCTTTGTGTTTGATCGTTTTTGTGTGCCATCTACAAGAATGCACTTGCTTGGACCCCAGCGGCACTTCGGTGGCTTGGGCCTCGATGCGAAAAATCACAATGAGATGGATTCGTTGAGTGGTGTCACAGTGATGTCTGTTGTACAATTTGAGTCCATCCAACAGTGATGGATTCCCTGAGATTCCAGCGGTATACTTTGCAATGAGCTGCGCTTGCGTCGTGCCTTCCAGCAGTCGATCCAGCCTGCGAGATCGCAACGAAACGGAAAAACCCGGCTCGGTTTTCCGTGGGAAACACGGTGCAGCCCAAGACGCTGCGAAAAGGTGGAGGACAACAAGGACGTGGCGACTTGGAGGGATCGATCAGCTAAAGTGGCCTCGATCCACAAGGATTCGGGTGTGAAAAACCCTTTCACCATGCTGAAATTGACCTCTGGTTGCATTCTTCCAGCTAGCACGGATCCCTGGATGCAAGGATTAAGGCAGGCTGCTAATACATGTTACTATGGCGATTGCTTGACACTTCACAGTGACTCTCAGCGCCGCGAGGGCGTGAGGCCATGGCTCCATACAGGTCATGCAGTCGGACCACTGCGTTCTGAAAGGCCTGAAACGGCCAGGACGAGGTTGGCATTCCACTGGGAGCTGCAGGAATTCTTGGGTGAAATCATGTGAAATCTCCAAAAACATGTTAGAAGTCAACAGCCTGCAAAGAGAAGAGTCCACGCTTAAGACTGAAGCTCTGATGGTTTCGGGTGCTAAAGGCTAAAGGTAAAATATGCCTTTAGGGTGCTGTGTTTCTTTTGGAATCTGCAGGTCAACGATGTTGCATGTACTGTTCGACCGAAAGTGGTGATGAATCAGAATCTGACAGGAAAGGTAGCTAAACGGCAACAAAAAGACCTGGCAGAGTGGACCCAACAAGAGTCTTGGCAACCCCCTGGCAGAATCCGACTGGAACCCGGGGCAAATTTTGCAATCATTCACAGGGCTGTGTGAAGCCATGTTCATGAACCCATTGGCTTTAACAATTCTTGCCATACCTCTATGCCGCCACTTTTGTATGGTCGACAAACCGTGCCGCTCCCTCCCGCTGCAACCCCTCTTTGTCGGGCAGATCCTTGATATTGTAACCAACGCCGTCGATGTCAAATTCATGCTGATTCCCGTCAGTTCCGTCTTTTGAAGTAGGGTAGTTTTTGTTAAATCTCTACACGGGGATGGGTCAAAACCTGGTCCACCATGACCAAGGTCTCCTGGTGCCATGACTCACCACATCTGAGCACTGCACCAAACATCGTTCTCGGTGGCATCGGACTGCTTGGATTGAAGCCGAAGCCAATCCCAGCCAAACCTGTGGGAGCATTTCACAGTTACTGACCGAATTCTGTGGGAGAATGGTGCGTTCCTCGTGCAGTCATGAGAAGCGCACGGACACGGCACGGACGTGTCGTTCGCGCCTGCATCTCACCCGCCGTGAGGTCCCGGGGCCTCGTTTTGGTCGAGTGGAGCCTTAAGGCCTGAGAGGAAGCGGGGCCAAGCGGGCCAAGCGGGCGCTGTCGTTCTTCGAAACGGATTGGAGAAGCATTAAGGAGTATTGGTCGTAGGCCGCTGTAAGCCTTCTACCCAAGCAACATGTGGGAGATGCTGTCCTTTATCAACACAATGTCCACGAGTTGATATTGCTGATGATCCAATCCTGGAATATAATATTTAATATGTGCGCATACAACCCCGCAAACCTTTGCTGTGCTTGTGTGTCTGTGTGGTGGAGCAGGTTGCGCCAAACGCCCACCCACCTCTTAGCCCCATGCCAAGTGGAGAATCTGATACATGATGCTATCCGTCCTGATTGACCAATCGCATGACATAATGACCCAATGAATGGGTCGGCATGTGGCGCACGCTGTTAAACAAAAAACATAAGTGTTTAAAGTACAAATGCAAATGCCAATATATATATATATAATTACATATATAAGTTTTCGCACTCCGTGTGCATGTGGGCCTGGCCCAGCAAGTGTCCACCTGTTGCTGAAATTCTGCTTCAGGAGCCTCCCATCCAAGATCAACGCTCAAACATAGAAATAAGATGAAATAAGCCTGCCATAAGAATAGGAACGAGTTCTTCGGCTCCTAAGCTCATCGTGTTTCTGTTCGAAAAAAAGACTCCATCAATTGAAGCAATGCCTTTCTAGACACCCAAGGCCCATAGCAGCAGCATGATGCAACAATGTCCTCCGCCTCTTGTGGCGCTTTCGTCGCTGCAGGAGCAGCTGTCTTTCCCGCTGACACTCCTTGCCTTTGCCACCAAATCTACCAGGAAATCAAGGGAGCGTGTCATGACATGGACATGGGTTGACCCTTGAACAAAATGGACTATGACAAGGCAATGCCTATGCCCACCGACATACCACAAAAGAACCAAGAACTTGAGTGCTGGACTTGCTTCTTCGGACCCTGCGGATACCGGCGGTGAACGGTTCTTTCATGTCCATGTCGTCTGTGCGGTGTTCTCTGCGTTTGGCCCCTGTTGATTTCACAATCAGTGCAACAGACAGGTTGTTCAGGTAGTCCACGTTCTTGCAAGGCGTTCCAATCTCACTGTTCCCCCCAGCTTAAATTGGCCAGCCAGCCGTGTCATGCTGCAGTATGTTGAAGCTATGGCTTCAAGCCTTACCCAAAATCCCTCTGTAATACCACGAAACCAAATTAACAAAATGCACTTTTGACCACACCCATACTTGAGCAAAGCAATGACAGGCAGGACGTGTAGCCTGACTACCAAAAGCACTGCAGAACTGCCGATGTTAATACTAGAAGCTGTTTGTAGCTACATATCCCTGATAAGTGTTTCTGCTGTACCATGGCCTATTTACTGCAAAAGGGAGGTTCAGTTGATGAGGCACAGGATAGAATCCTCTTGCTCTGCCTTTTACGCGGTGGTTCTGGGTCGGTCCGCGTTGACGGCTTGCCTCATGACAAAACAAAAGAGATTCCAAGAAAATGTCTTGTACATTCAAACAATAATCCGCTGAAAGTACAATCATGCACAAGGAGCCGCTTCGTCCACATTGCTGGTCTGGCATGTCGCTAGGTCGCTAGGTCACCGGGCTCTCCTCGCTCTGAGAAGCCTTGGAGTTTGGGCGTCTTTTCTCACGTTGTACGGAAAGGCCCATTTCAGTTCTCCTTTTCTTGTGGAAGCAGACTTCTCCACATAAAGGTAAGTCAGTGCTACTGCGTGCTGCTGTACCAGTACTGTCTGCGTCAATGCAACTAGATATCTCTGCTACATGAAGCAGTTGCAAGCACTTCTCCAGGCTCTTTCAAGCAAGCTGCTATCTGTGGTGGTAAGGCTGGCAGTGGAAGGCAAAAGAAATCTGCCACATCGAAGGAGTCATCATGCACTGGTCGTGGTACCTTTGCCAAGATCCGCTGCTATGAAGTTGCCGGAAGCAAAACGATGGCAACAAGTTGCTGAGGTCCTAAGACTGCTACGAATCCAAAGCTGCTGCAGATCTCCTGCAGTGAACTGCAAGCTACCGGTACGTGGTCAGGGCTGCATTTTCATCCGCACTCCCTGAATCCCAGATTCAATGTTGCAGTCCTTCAAGCCCTGTAGTCGTCTCCGTTTCACAGGCAGGGAGGATTCTTGATCTTGTAGGGACTCCAATACCGACCTGGAGAACACAACATGTCCAAGTTTTGACTCTACTTGAAGAGCAAAGGAATTTGACCAGAGTTATTACAACAAGCTTATTATATAGCTGGTTCTGCAGCATCTATTCCTCTTTCAGACTGCTTGCTAACGATCACTGAGTCTTAGATTCTAGGCTGGCGACCCTGCTTCTGAAGCCAAATCCTCTGCGGCCTGGCCCCACACTACAAAAGTTGGAGAGCAAGAAACCAATGAAAGAAAATAAAATTGCACCCCGTTTGCTCAAACCATGATAAACCCACTTGAGCCGGTACAGTACCAACCCCAGTACTGGTGAGGTCACCTCAAAACAAAAAACAAATACCACACAAGTCTACACAAGTCCATGAGCCTCATGGAGGCCAGAACCTTGAGGAGCTGCCAAACAGAACCTCATCAAACAAACAGCGTCGTTGTTTGCTTCTTCGAATCAGAAAGTCTCTTCGAGGTTTTTCTTGGATTCATGGAGATTCATTGACTCTAACAAACGACTGCGACCTTCCAAGAGTCTGTTGACCGATCAAGATTCTTCCAAGCGACGCATCTGGCAGGAGCTGCTGCCCGACCATGCGGACCAGGCTGGAAAGCATTGATGGCCTCAATGTGTGCAGGAGTAAGTCCGATGAGCAATATAATATAATTAAGGTAGTAAATATTGTACTATACATGTAGACGAAGGATGACGAAGGTACTTGCCAGTACTGAAAGTTGCTCTTTTCCCCTCTCATCAATATTGTCTTGGGAGCTTGACAAAGCAGCTTGGACCGACTGCTGATCATCCCAGAATTCCTCGCCTCAGGAGCTCGAGCTGTGAAAACTTGCAAAAGCATCTGGCGACTCACGTGACAAGCAACGACTCGGTTCGGAACTGTCATTCATTCGCACAGGTTGCTTAGCCTCAGCAAATCAGCTGAGTTGATGGAGACCTTTCCGAGATCTCACTGAGACTTGCTGTTTCATTGCACTCTGCAGCCACAAGAAAGGATGCAAAGACCAAATTAAGCACACAAAAGGAAGAAAATGAACTTGTCAAGGGACATTATGCCACTGTCTTTTCAGACAAGCTCTGGTGCTGTTCTTCTTAAGACTGAAGAAACACTCTGGATGTCAATGCGAAGGATGAAGAACAATCAACGAGGGATGCCAAATGCCAAATCATCACACGTGCTCTAAAATGATAAAGTGGGTCAACGTGCTGCACTCGTGGAACGTAGAACTTCTTCCGCAACACTGAGTCCGCTGGCTGACTGTTGGGAACTCATCTCGACAGCGCTCAAAGTGAAGTAAGCCACTGGAATGACTTTGCCTCGGGAGGCCCCTGTTCTTTTCCGATGTTGTCTCACCGTCGCATTCAATGTCTGCTACTTCTTGTCAGAGCCATTGAATCTGGTAAAGGTTCATTCCCGCCTGACTGAACATTCTCCTGCCCTCCTTCCACTGATGAGCGAGACAGCACCGTGTCTATGAGCCTGAGCACCGACACGGGTTTGCCTGTTAGGTTTAGCGTCGACCTTCGAGGTGAAACGCTTCAACGCTTTTCGCTCCGGCGAAACCGCTGGAGCTCGTCCTGCTCGTTGGGGGGGCCCGGCTCTTGCAAGTTATCATCAAATCGCTTTATAGCCCTGCTGAGCTGCCGGTGACTTCTGGAAACAGAGTCCTTGAACAGGGCTCGAATGACTCACATCTACAGGAGGAAGAGCGTTTTGATAGATCCAATGGATTTTCCGACTTGGTCACTCACCTAAAATAGCTGGGAACTGGGAACCTCCCTGCTTGAGTGGCATGGGCTCAAACACTGCAAAGCAGTTTGTTCTTTTGATCAATCCGGCCTTGAGGGCATGGTAGTTGGACAAATCCCAGCGAACGATCTTCACCAAATCCTGACAATGCCAACTGACATGGCCTTTCAATGGTCACTCTACACAAGAACAGGTTGTCCTGAACCTCCTTTTCCATCGCCTGCATGCAATGGGGAGTAGCCCGAAATAGCTCGCGTCTAACAAGAATCTGCTGCTACCGCTATTGAACAACATTGTACTGTGATGCAGCAGGACTTGACCTTCTATTGGGTACAATTTGCTGCTGTAGAACGAGTTTGGCAGCTGCCTGTTGTGTCTTTGCTAGCTCTTTTTCAACCGCAGGCAACCATCTCAAACTGAAGTGCCAAACCTGGTCGGTTCAACGTCAGAAGTTGGTTTCATTCCGTGGCACACAATCTCTTCACTCCTTGGGGATTCTTAGGGTATCTTCACTCGGGGGTGGCTGGGGTGTCCCTGGATTTGAGCTGGTTTTCGAATCCCTACAAATCCCTTGCTACCCATAGCAGGTATAGAAGGGGTACAGAAACTATCCACAAAACAATGTTGAAACCTAGCTCGACGATGCCAATGGAACACGTGAGAAATGGGGACAGCAAAAAACGTGCGAAACCGATTAAGACACCAGAACATTCCTTGTATTTGGTTCAACAACTAGTCAGGAAAATGGTCAGGTCAGGTCAGCCAATGAGATCAGCTGTTTATTTAGTTATTGAAGTATTAAATAGGGCTTTGTACAATGGAATCATACAATCGCTGAGACAATGGAGTCTGGAATTTCTGAGATTGGACCATACTGCACCACCCCTGCAGTCGCGGCATGTCGCCACACGGAGTTCGGCAAAGTCCGCGCGTTTCGCTCCACGCCGCGTGCCGCACGGCGCGTCGCGCCGAGGGCAGCGCATGATGCGCCACGAGCCCCGCGGTGGAGGACTTCCCCTCGGCCTGAGCAGCGGAGCGGCGGAACACGACGACCGGGCTGGCGCGACCGGGCTGAGCATGCTCTGAGGTGAGGAGGAGGTGGAGGTGAGGAAGTCCCGAGCTGGGACTTGCGTACTTGCAGTTCAGCACACATCTTAAGCCCAAGCTTGTCATATCCAGTTCACGCAGCTGCCTGCAAATGGAGCCTTGCAGCGGCGTGAAGCATTTGAAGGCCTTGTCAGGGACAAGAAAGAAAATTCGTTCCGCCAACACAGCCAGCAAGGGCGAGAGATGAGGGAGAATACAGTAGTTCCTTATAGTTCCTTCTGAATCAAATTGCTTTTCAGTTCAAGTTGACAAAGCCTAAGCTGCAGACGAAGACGAAATTCTCCAAGAGGAGACGTGCGGAGAAATTTCAGAAGCTCATCAACCAAAGCCCGAGGTTCCATGTCCTCAATTTGAAGTCTCACAGTGTATCTAATAAATCTAATGTCCTATGACTAGTAGTCATCAGGAACAACCGGAATCTGAACTACCAAACAGGCATCCCGAATGAACTACCATTCTCCCCAAATCATCTGGTCGAAGAAGAGTGTAACATAGAGACGAGACCGAAAACGACAGACTGCTCAGTGAAGTGATGAGTGATTCTCCTCAGAGAGGAGACCGATCAAGTGGAGCCACCATTTGGATCCGTTGCGCTCCCAGTGCTGCTCTCTGATTTGTCTTAGGCCTCACCCCAACAAAGTAGCCGCTGAGTGGTGATGGTCTAGGGATGTTCTTGAACGGTCTAGGACAGTTTGCCAAATCTTCCTTCGGTATAGACGGTGTATAGTGGTCCCTAATATCTTTTGAAGCAGACTTGTTTTTCATGTGTTTTCTATTTCCGAGTCATGTTTGCACCTCAACAATTCAGCTCTCTCCTCCAAAAAAGCGGCCTTTCCACTCTAGGAGTTGTCGTTCGCGCAAGCTCACCACCAGCGCCTGCAAAAATCCAAACCCGTTTGACTGAAAACGGTCGCATCTGGTTGGAACTCGGCCGAATGGGCTTCGCAGCTTCGCCTTCAGGGGTTGGATCTGTGTTTGAAGCGACACATGCCGTGCAGCTGCCTCTTCCCAAACCTGAAATGGGGGATTTCACGGTACTCATTGGATCAAAGACATTGTAAGCAATGTCACTTAAGATGGGAACGGTCACTCGTCCAAGCAAAAGCTCCAACATCGTCACCACCGTCATAGGAGTGGTCCTGCACTTAAACGCTCAACGAGACAGGAGCCATGTGAAGAGAGGCGATCCATCTGGGACTTGGGCTGAAGAAGCTTCAGGCCCAGCATCTTCTCAACTAAGCCTGTGAAGAACTGCAATGTGGGTGCGGATTAAATTATATATCTAAAATAGGGAGACCTCCCAGTTCGACCCCCTGGAAGAAGGGAAATAGACAAAAAAATATTGGTTGGGGGTACAGATCCCCAGCCTTCAATTGCAACCAATGATGGGTGCTCTTCGAATTGCACCTCAACAGCAGAGGGGAAACCGCACACCGGACGGTCTGAGACAAGTTCACACACTCGAATTAGCAGCATTTCAAGCTCTGAGCGTACAACGAGCAGCTCTCGCACACGACTAAGCAAGGCCGACAAGGGTGCCTACGGAATGTCAGGCTTCCTTTAAATCTTGTGTTGCAGTATATCAAACTTCAAGGGCGACAATTGCTTCATCCTTTCAACATGTCTGCACCAACATGTGCACCCTCACCGTCACCGGCTTTGAAAAAGAGGGCATCCCTTTCTTCCATCTGAAGACTAGGCATTCAAAATGCACAACTATATATACTTTGCCCGTTAGGTTCCTACACTGACACAATAGCATATCTAAATAAAGAACAAACAGCAAACGTTTTGCGATGACATTGTACCTACTTTGTCTCTAGTTGCTGACAGGCCGCTGCCAGCTGCAGTAGAATGGCAGGGCCTCAAGGGCCGCGGAATCACTCCTGCCGTTCCAACTGAGCTGCTTAGGCGCGAGCTGCTCTCGGAGTAGAAGGCGCAGGCTGCAGAGCTGTGCAAACCTGAAATCTCAAAGACATGTTGTCAAATGAAATCCCAGTGGTGGGCGGTTCCTTTTTCCATGACTGACATGCTGTGTGCCTCAAAATGAGAGGGTTGCCCTGGCCATTTTCCATAGCATTGTGGCATTGCAGGGTTTCAGACTTGGTGTCCCAGCTTTTGCGTGCTTCTGCAGCAGTGCGCTTCTTCCCAATGCTATCCTGCCGTGGGTTGTCCAGAGTGGCAGGCCAACGATTTGTTAAACACTTGAAGCAGTGCCGTCCCCATCTACAAACGATACAGAATATATTTGTTCACCCTGCGGCGTGGTCAAGTTCCTCCGGGACAGATTCAATGGGAAGGGGTAAGTACACAATGTTGGATAGTGCTCAACAAGAGACATCGAATGCTGAATCCGGCTGAAATTATGCAAAACACCAGAACTACTCAAGGAAAGGTTTCAATATCGTTTGATATTGCTTGAGGTGGCAAATCACTCGCAGGTGGCACTGCGTCGGCGAGCATCTGCGGCCCGGGCCTTTTGCAAAGAGTACAAGCCGTGTGCAGGTTGCTAGTCTCATTGCATTAGACATTGACAATATTGGCCATGGGAGGTTCCGAGCTGCTGCAATAGAAACAGTAAGCAGTTCGTGTAATGTTGTGTATTTTATCTGAGCACGAGACTCCAACTGCTTAGCTGTTCTGTGAAGTCTCAACCTGGACAAACTGCGAATCAAGCGACGGCTTGGGAAGCTTCTTGGGGATGGCACTGTGCTGTAAATATGATAGTCAGCCCTACAAGCGAAGATCCGTGACCCGAGCAAAACCATTGGAGAGATGCGGTAGGCCACATCTGCTGGCCTCCAAAGCGGGGTCAGAAGAGGTCCTCTATGAAACATACGTAGGACAAGTCCTCTTCAACTCTACTCTCCGACAAGTCACAGTAAGCTGCTGGTGGTTTTGTCATTGCTCAGGCCACACACGCACAGACCTGCAGGACATGCTGCTTTTCCAAACATGTTAATCTTTCGCGGCAGGAAATCGAAGTTCCGAGACATGGACGAACAAACATTTCCAAGGAAGCATCCAAGGCATCAAGCCGCCAGTTGTCTGCCTGGACAGACGAAATGATCCATAGTTGAAGCTTCAAAAGTGAGAAGAGTTTCAGAACCAAAGGGTTTCTGTGTCTTTTGGATTCCTTTGCTCTCGCAGCTTTGATCCTAAAACCGCCAACATGAAACCCAACAGCGTCAGCGGCATACTTCGCCTCTCTGGAGAATGGCACCGGTGTGCTGCCTCCAAAGCATTCAAGACCTGGCACGGTGCGGCAGGACCGCAGCGGGAACCGCAGTGCTGGACTCATGGGAACCGCAGAGCGGAACTCGCCGCAGGCACTGAGTTCACAAAGGTCCGAAATCTGCTGGGCTTGAAGATGGAACCTGAGCGTAGCCATGTTGGGCCATGTTGCCCAGTTTTTCAGCTCCACGGACGGTGTTTTCCAAACTCTTTCACTCTTTGAGGCTTTTTCCAGCTGGCTTCTCGGAATCTGGCTGAGAGAAGGGTTGGATTTTCTAGGGCTTCGAGTGATAAACCAAAAAAAACCTCCCAAAAACACAAAAGCAAAACAGGCTCGAACCTGGCACTCTGTCCTTGAGCGGCATCACTCTTCTTCTTTGAAGTGGCCTTGGTGGCCCAGGGCTTCAAAAAGCGCAAGACACCGGTGCTTGCAGCTTCCGGTGCACCTTGTGGGACCAAAGGTCGTAGAGGCTGCTGCCACCCGTCACTTCACCACCTGAGTCCCAGCACATGGAGCGTCTACCGTCTGTAGAGAGAGAGAGAGAGAGCGCGCGTTTCGCTCAGCATTCGACCTTCAGTCTCATCGGTTCCATCCTGCATTTGCTGAGGTGTCTCAAAAAGACCCATTGCCACAGCGCAACTTGGTTGCTTCCTGGTTCAGGCCAAGCACAGCATAGGCTTCTGCTTGATCTTCACCTGGGTCTTCAAATGTTCGGTGTGGATCAAAAATCATCCCTTCACACCTAAAATGCAAATGGATGCCGATCCTTGGAGAGGAAATGTCCGGGAACCTCTACACATCTTTTCTTTGAGCTCGACGCCTGGAAATAAGGCCTTCTCATGCGTATCCTCCTGCCGGGTGTCGTCCAAGATGACAATGAGTTCAAGTCGCAGTGGAAAGCGCTGGCCTCAGCATCCTCTTTGTCTGCCTTAGCCTGCCGCAAGCTGCGGTTCAAAGCTCTGAACACGCAAACCGCAGCTTGGTATCTGTGCAGCTACATGAGGCTATTTATCTGGATGTTGGGAGCATGTTTGAGCCGCCTTTGCCAGCTTGAAGAGTGTCAAAGCATCAATTTCCTCCTTGGCCTCACCAAGAGAGCTCCCACGTGTGGAGTGGACCTATCTGTACGTTCCTGTGTGCGTGTGTGTCTTGATCCTCTGGTTTCTCCAAGCCTGAAGAGTAGCTGTATTGTATATACGTTTTCTTCTTTATACTGACGAGCTGTAAATGTGGTTAGCACCTTCTCTGGGACCTACGTTCGAAACCACTCCTGACTACGCCCATAGCACCTTCTCTGGGACCTACGTTCAAAACCACTCCTGACTACGCCCATAGTCATTGTCACATCCAACCTACTCACGGCGGTGTGGTGCAAACACAACGCAAAAACACGTGATTAAGCCTTTTTTTGCACATGTTCACTAGAAAACCAACTCGGAGTGAAAACAGGTTTTGGTGGAAGCAAAATTTTCCACAAAATATGTATGCATGCTGTTAAGAAAGGGTTGCATTATATAACATGTGTCTGTTTTTTGGCTTCGGTGTGTGCGTGTGCATGTGTTTGGCTTTCTCGAGTGTTTGTTTCTTGGTCCCTGCACTTGAAAGTTCAAAATCAAAAAGCAAAAGCCAAACAGCAGTTGTTAGAGTAGAAAAATTGATGTCCCAAAAAATTATCGAAAAGGTGTTTGGTTTCTTGGCCTTTGGTCTAAAACCACGAAAATGAAAGCCTGAAAGTGTTCGACTGACCTTCTTACTGTTTTGTGGCGGTGCTGGCGAACCCTGAGTCCCCCCTCGCCTACCATGAAGCAAATGCATACTGTCATCTAATTGTTTTGCCACCGCCTTGTCCAGGCGTTGTCCCCTGCTTGGCAACCCCGCTTTCCTTTTCTCCGCCTTCTCCGGGTATGTTTTGTGGCTATGAATGCAACCGTGATGCAGCTTTTCAAACGTGATATCATCTTCAGGTTTTCCATGACATACATCCCTTTTGCACATGTAGCCTGCGAACCAGGAACTGTTGTTTTCAAACAATGCCATCCCCCAAACAGCTGGAATTACCACCAACATTGGAATTCAATGAGTTGCCGTAAAAAAATGAAACTGTTTGGGGTCTAGAGTCTATGCTGGCATAATTTGGGTGCCCTAGTGGGGGCTTTGCCCATTCTTCCATCTGCGTAGGAACTGAGGTGTTTTGACCCTGTCCAGAATCCACTCGCGCGACGCGTTCAACGATTCACCAAATTGCCTTTGGCAAACTTGCATGAACGGCTTTGTCAAGCTTATCAGCTGGCCACCACAAGTTCTGGCACTGCTGCCATGGAATGCATTGAGCTAAACAATGAATGTACCTTCCACATCCCCATCCGGATTACTCCGCACAGCACGTGGGCAACTTGTCTTCGATTCCCTCCTTCCACTTGGCGACTCCCCTGTCTGCTGGCGCGTCGAAGACAGGAAGTGCAGGAAAGAGAAGTTGCAAAGCCATCCTCGTTAAAGGTGCATGTGCGGAGTAGAGGGTGCACCTGAGAGCTTGCTCTCGAACAGTCCTCGAGTCGGATGTTCCCAGTCTCCTGCTGCGAAGGTGGATGGCAAGGCAAGATACAGTTTCTATCCTGAATGAGTGGAGAACGGCTGGGAATTGACACCCACTGTGCTTGCCATGAACGAATGTATGCAAATGATAGCGGCATAGCCTCCTCAAGGTGAGGATGTAATGGCTGTGTGAACAAATGATATGCATGATTCGACCACGAACTGTATCTCGCCATCCTTTGAAGAGACGGCCGCATGCTCGAGTTTCCAGGGCGTGGTTGTACTTGAAGGTGCCCGCGCCCCCGAAGCAGAAAGTTCCTTGTAGCCCAACAGTGCCCAACAGTCGAACCACCGTGGGCTTGATTGATCTCCAAGTGTGATTCAGTGTGATCACCACTTGCCGGCGCTGGACAAATCGAATCTTCTGGGAAACAAGATTCCGGCCTTATTGATCAACAATCGAATCTCTTGCGCAACCTGCATGGTTGGTTCCACAAAAAAGATATTGGAAGTGGGACAGAGGGCAAATTCGCTCAGGTACAGTGTAAAGGTTGGAGCTGGGTCTGTGTAGACAAGCAAGAAGTTGCTCCCAAAGTTGCCCTGCACTTGCCAACTTCAAGGAAAGTCAGGTTGACATCTTTCACCTTCAATGTCCAAGTCCGCAAGACGTGTCTATGCAGCAGCTACACGCTTAGTTTGAGGGCGTGACATGCGCATACCATTGCACAAGCTTCACAGGTTTCTTTTTGGCTCAAGGTGGCTAGGAATAGCGTATGTGATTGGTTGTCAATATGTCTTTTCTCGAAAGCGGCTGCAAAAGTCATTCTGATGAGGGCCCGCTTCTTGTTCAGCAGAGGGTAACTGGAATGTGTGGAAGTGTGAAGTACTTCAATCAGAGGTGCAGAATGTTGCAAACGTAGCTAGCGCGAAGGCCTTTTAACTCTTTGAGGATCTTTTGTTGTCTAAGATAGCCACGCTTTCATGAATTTGATAGGAAAAATGACATGGGCACAAGCTTTCCAAGTAGTAATGGCGAAGATCTGCTTCCAGGAAAAATTGATATCTGATCACATTTGAGAACTGTGCTAGCGCAATACAGGCGCAATGCTGGCGCGGATCTAGCGCACAAAACTCAGAACTTTGTCCGGCTTGAGGTAACAGCGAAACACATCACAGAGTTTACTTCTGTGCGTTCCCAGTATAGTATGCTTTGCATACTACTACCCAAAAGCATGCCAGCACACAGCCTAAACTACGTCAGTTGCAGCATTCCCCCACAAGATGCGCAGGATTTCATGAACCAAACCAAATGAATCATGTTGTTTCTAAACACATCTACAGTATATACAAGTAAAACAATCAACCGCGAACCTAGCGACAATCTAGCGCTGCCTTGGTGATTTGCTTAGTTCTGCTGGGGGGCCCGCCACTAAACAAACACTAAAAATTAACATCCCAACCATTTTACGCGCCTCCTTCAAAAAAGACTTACTATAGGTGTTTGACATCTCATCATGTGGCTTCTGTGTCTCACGTTGCTTGCCTCAGACTGGGCTTGTCTCATCAGTCGATCAATTCCTATGGGGGTTCTTGCAGATGTTCCCTTATATAAATCACTTCTGAGGATCAGAGATAGTCACTCACCCCTTGCAAGGTATTATATATCTCCAAGGTCAAGGTGTTCTCGCTGCTACATGGCGATCACGTGGTGCTAGTAGTATAAGATGTTCTGCACATGTGGAAGTTCGTTTCAACTGCGCCAGAGGAACCGCTGAGCATGTTTGTGTACACACGATATTTCCATTCATGGAAATGTACGCAGACTCAGACAAAGGCCAAGTTTGCAGAAACCAAGGGCCAGCTGCAAACAGTTTGAGTTTTTAAGGAAGGAACTCGTTCATTCTCATCTTCTTCATGAAGGACACTGAGCTTCTGAAGCATTTGGAGGACCTTGAAGCATAAGCTCAGTACGCTGTGTGACCACTCTCTATGAGCACAGCCATGTGTGCCCTAAGGCTGGTACGACCTTGGGCTTTGGGGCTGCTAAGGAACGAGACGAGCAAGCAAGGGCTGTCCAACCTCGGCTCGATTGATCTGTGGCCACCCGACTCGAAGCTACTCCCAAGCGCCCTGACGATGCTACAAGGTCTGCAGACCGTATTACGGCAACTGCATCTTCTCATAAACATCAAGTGACGAAGGTGACTCAGTCTCCGAAGGTGCTTGAGGTGCCAAAGAATCAAAAGATCTCTAGTCAAGGAAGGCAGAGCAAAGAAATCTCATGTTCAAAATCTTCAGACGGTTTGAATCTCCAAACATCTCAACCTGAAAATCTTCTGGATTGGTCTAGACATCCAAAACCTCTACTTTCATGGTTTAAGCTTCTCCAGGTCCAAACATGGGAAGCGAAAGGACAGAAATTCAAAGACCAAACATCTTAAACTCTTAAACCAAAAATGTTCAATATCTGTACATGTGGAACAAAAGCGGGTTTTGGAGGGAGGGCGGCTGTTTGGCATGTTTGGTGTTTGAGGCTTTACTGTCCAGTCTGACTGTATTTGTGCCCCTCCATCCCTTCAAGCGTACACCTCCAGGTCCATAACATTGGAGTTTGTTTGCATCGTGTCACCAGATCCAGAACTTTTGCAAACGACTTGGCTAGCCGGCTTGGACAGGGGTTGCTCAAAAGTTAATCACGTTCACAGGAGGGGTTCAACCCATCCATTCACTGGAGCTGCAACGCCACAACTCACCTTGGGCGCTAGCGAAGCCACCAGCAAACCACTTCGGGATTTGCCAGCGCAGCATCCGCCTGGACTCCCGATCAAGGAAAATCCAAGCTGGGCACTGCTCGAGAATCAAGATCCAGGCACGAAGAACAAACTGGAAATCCTTGTCTTAAGTCACAGCTATTTAGGGACCCAAGCTTCCCAGAATCTATATATATAACCTGAAGCCATGGTTTGTAGATCTCTAACTTTCAAGCCATGCTGATTTGATACAGTAGCGGTTCTGCATGCGTCAGTGGGATGGCCGCTCAAACCAGCCTTCATGAGAAAGGCCAGCTTGGAAAATCATCAAACATGCATGTAACAGAGAAGTATATCGGTAGAACTGCTGGCTGGCATCGTGGGGAGAGATGGTGCTCGAACTCATGATGCGACATGGAATCTCAATATGGGAGATCCAATGAAAGACAGCTCCGAGAAAAAGGAAATGGCTAGGCCAGCAAGTCATTGAGTGTTTAATTTCTGTGCTGATCTGAACAGCTCCCACACTATGTCTCTGCCTCCGGCCCCAATGCTGCTTCAAGACCTCTCCAAACAGTCTTGGTGAAGGCTCCGCATCGAGATTAGAATAATTCAACTACAAACAACGTGCTTTTGCTGATCGCAACATGTGTTGCGAATAGACTCCCAATCTTGACATGTACTGTGGCGAACTCCGGAGACTGGGCTCTACATCATCTTCTGACGACAAACAAACCCGGGGAAGAAAAGACATTGGAATCCTAGGGCAAAGATTCGGCACAATCAGCTGGAATCGAACGTCCGTCTGGCCTCCAGGTTCATGTGCAGGTGCTTGTGGAGTTGAGCAAATTCCGGCTCCTGAGGCCTACAGTAGATCAGATTGCTGGTTTCAAAGGCACAACAGGAAAATCTCAGCACAAGACTTCTAGAGCAGATGCAGAATGAGTATGCCAGAGCTGGCGATGCCTCAGCAGGCATACAAGTGTCTCCCAACTTGACAGCAATCTTGCAGGTATTGATTCTGTGGCTAAGCAGCTATGTCACAGTCAACACAATTCTTGCCCCCTGATGCAGATACAATTGGAAACCAATTTAGATGCAGCATGAATGTTCAGCACTCTTGACTAAGGCTGGAACAACAGCTGAAGGCCATGCAGAAGAGCCTTTATTCAACTTTATTCTTTGAAGCATCGCACCCTTGAGTCAAGTCTTCTACGAATGGCCTGCGCGGCCAGGACCACTGGTCCAGCTAGGTCTGCGTGGAGTGGGAATCTCGAGGTCAATCTTTGGACCTTGGTAAACCAAATGAAAAACCATAAGAAAACCGAGAAAACCGGGGAAGAAACCTGAAGAAGGGAAGAAACTGAAACACCCCCTTCTTGGATCCGTCCCCCCAAATTCTGAGGGCATCACGAAGCCAGCGGCCGAACCTGAGCAAAACATCGAAGCGCGTGCGCGCGCACGTGCTCGTCGCGGTGGCAAGCGCCGACGTCGCTGTCGACACATCGTCTGGGGCACCCGTGCAAGACAAGTTCTGAAGCTCAGACATGACGTCCTTCTCGGATGCTGAGTCCTGAAAAGAATCAATGTCTAGCGGTTCGAGGTGATTCTTCTTGCAGTCATGAATCCCAACCAAAAGAGAAGCGCTTGCATGCTGCATGCAGAAACCGCACATCTGCCTGCTTGTGGCCAGGGAGCAAGCGCAGCCTCAATAGATGGAATGACCAAATGACTGCTGCTAGCTAGCTACATCCTCAACTTGCCACCGCATCATGTCCAAATATATAGCAAATGAAAAAAATCAATCGTGTTCTCCAATTATCAAGAACCCAACAAACGGAAAAATATGGCAGTCTCATCTTCCTGGATCTTGATAGTCAACTGTGGTGTCACTGCTAAGACCGCTGCACCCGATCTGGTCGACAAACCTCTGCGGAAAAAAAGAAAAAGCACAAAAACCAGCGCAGATGTCGTCGAATTCAGCGACCGGGTGCCCAGCAGATGTGGCAAAGGTGGCCACCTCCTGGCACAAGTCCTGCGCAACAAGGACACGCGTAACTGCCGAAGACAGAGGTCCAACAAAAATATAGCTTAGTCTTGTTCTTGGCAGAGGTCTAGTTCGCATTATCTGGACCTTTTGAGAGCTTCCTCGTGGAAAAAGCAGTCCACTTTTGAGCCTTCCCGATGTCGACAACTCCCAGAGTGAATGTATGCAGAGACAGCGGAAAAGATGAACTCTCTCATCTGAACTCACAGACAGTCCGATCAGACGGACCACACAGACCCTGAGAATTGACCGGTTTCAACCATTTTCCGAATAGAAAACCCAGTGGTTGTGGGGTCCATGTGGACCTCTGCAGGAGGGTATCGGCAAATGGTTGCCTCAGTGTCCCGACTATCGCACAAATCAAACCGGGAACCTGTCCTGGTATGCTGGCGGGTGCTGTCCAGAAACCTGGGTAGATGGAGATTGCAACATTCCACCATTCCCGTTCCCCACAGCCTAGCAACCTGGTCTAAAGGAACAAGTCTACGCCAAAGTCTGGACGCTTTGCGCAATGATAGCAAGTGAGACTGGTCTAAGTCACATCTCCCAGCAAAACAGTATGACTTATTCCCATCTGCAGCCTCTTTGTGTGTATGTGGATGCAAAGTGGGCATGTCCACACGGACACTGCAGATGTTACAACTCATCTTGCATGACACAAACTCATTAACCAAAACCAACTCGCAAGAAGCCTATGAATGTGGCACAAGACAACTCATCAACCTGCTCCACTTGCCACGCGCTGCAAATTGTCTCTGACTGGTGCGCGGTGTCTGGTCTGGTGTCGTCCCTGTACAATTTGTACAACGCAAGCCATCTGAAAAGTATGTCAGGTTGATTGATCAAGTGCAGGCCACCAACAAGACTGCCAGTATCAATCGAAAGCCTTCAACGATTACAGGTACCAAGGGATTTGCATTATTGTGGAACAGCCAGCTGTTCATGCTCCATCCATATGGTGGCCAAACATGCCTGACACTGACATTTCAGAGAGAGAGCTCCCTTCATCCGCTTGTCAGTCGTGACAAGGCACGACTTAATTGAAAACATTGCCTGTCTTCTCTTGTCTACCTAGCTTTTGGGCCACTAGGCCTCACCTCGCATGATTCGTCAAGTGAACTATGCAACGACACGCGGAGAGGTGCCTGCAAAAAGGGAAAGGTTCAAGTGGCATCGTGGTACCCACACTGGCAGTCCCTGCTTCACTTGGAATCTTGAAGAACCAGAAACACACTGGTGCACGCAGGTATGCCCATCTTTTCTCGCTCTACCAAGGAAGCAAGCCATGTGTGGATGCCTAGTTTCAAGCACGTCCCTGGTTTGTGCACCCAATATGGGAAAGCCCCATGATTGCTACATGCAAGTTTCTCCAACCTTGACAAGGGTTTTTGGGGGACGTGCTCAAACGGATGTCATCTAACGCTGTAAAAGGACTTGAAAGATTCTTTTCATTGCAAAAGCTTGTAAAAGCTGGTAGCAATGGACTTTTTCAAAAGCCGTCGCTGATGAATCCCAGGCCCAATCAACCCAGGATCCTGCTCAACTCATGGAGTTCACACAGCTCAAGAGTCGCCGCAAAATCAACATTGGAACGGCTTCGTGGCCGACGTTGTAGCCGAAGACCTTCCAAAAAGACAGGAGCCTTCGGGTAGGCTGATTGTTGTGGAAAAACTGAGCTGGAATCACTAGGTTTATTCAGCTTGCTTCCAGTTGCAGAAGATTACATAGTGTGCCTTTGTGAGTTAATTTCAATGAGTTGGAAACCGGCTCTTGCCCCTCAGGATGAAACATGGCTAGTGTATCTATTCACTACCTGCACCCAAGCATCCAAGCATAAGGGTTGCTTGAGAAAGACCCCTGGCAACAAGATTAACATTATCAAAAAAGACTGCTTTGAAGACTGGTCAGCGTGGTCAGTCGTTCAGTGTATGTACATATATAGTTGTATAATATGAATAATATATAATAGCAATAACAATAAATTGTAATAGTAAAAAATATGTATATATATACACATATAACATGTATACATGTGTATATTATATATATATATGTATACGTGCATGTTACATAATATACACGCATCACTCATTTGAGTCATGTTGAGGTCTTTAACAAGCCTTGAGTTTGATTTTGACCATTTGCTGCGACGAGCCTTCACAATTGTTTGGCAAAAATGTCGTCTTCATAGCCTCAAGGCGAATGAGAAGAGCTAGAAACACAAGACCATGTAGCGGGTTGATCCAAAAACTATGTGTTGCGTATTGGGATGTTTGCGGAAGTTCTTTTGTTGTGCTTGTGCATCGATGTTGATATGAAAAACCGTCTCCACTTCTCCACTTCTTCCCTGAAAGAGGAGAGTTGTAAGTCTACAAGGTGTGGGGTAGGGCAGGTGTGGTCTACATAATTTTTTTATCATAATCCGGTACACTTCGGTCGTGGGCTGTACTTCTTCTTGGGCTGGTACTCCTTCAGATCTACGTAACCCACAAGCAGTCGGCTGAACGGAACGAATGCTGTGGGGAATCGAGTGAGTGCCATGTCAAACGAACGCTTTTTGGAGCGTGTGTGCTACGGAATCGTGATGAATCGTGTAGTGCACTGTGCTGTTTGGGTGCAGAGTTGGTACTGACTTGTCGTTGAAAACCATGAACCAGCCATGGGAGATGCAGGGGCGGTGCTTACAATGTTCTACACAATCCGCCCGACACAGTCGTGAAAAAGGGTGGCTTCACACAGCTCTGAGGCCAGACCAGAACTGCATGGATTTCAAGCAAAAAGCGCTCACCGCTGATGGTTGGGAGTTTGCTTTTGAGATTCCAAAGCTACACCAGTGGGTCGAAGGTCCAGAAGGTCCAGCCCAGTGGCCTAACTCGGGCAGGGCATGGCCACCGTGACGTTGAAGGATGCACCAGGACCTCCAACGGACGCGACGCGCATCCCTATCCACGTCCCGTCGTGGTGACCGTCCCGGCGCAGGATCGGAAGCTGTCTGAGTCCGCGGCCGTATCCCGATGGAATCGGAACTTGATAGGTGTATCCTGAAGAGCATGTCGAGGATGGGAGGTCATGGCATGTGTCTACTCTGCTTTTTTTGTTAAGAAGTTTTTTGCTCAAGCCATCTCAAGCGCAAGCCAGCCCAAGCCCAGGCTCCTTGATACTCCACGGGCATGGTCTGCATCGTCGGTGGGTAGCCCCTTCGGTAATCAGCATCAATACTCAGCCCCTCCGGCACAGTGACCTCCATACGAGAAAGCCGCTGACGGCGACGGCGACCCCCCTTGTAGACCCGGCCTGGATCTGCTGACTGCCAGGTGCAGCGGCAAGAATACCAGCTTCCTCACACGGAAGCAAGGTGTGAAACGCTCGGATGGCTCGGGTGTATCAAAAATCGAAGCATTCAAACAACCATTTCCGTGAAACTCTCCTGTTGTCTGATCATTTCATTCAGCATCACCTGCAAAGAAAACCCTCTGATGTGGAGGCTTGATTCTACTGAGTCATGTGTCTGGTCTCTGCAGGTCTCTGCAGACAGCTGCGCAGTGTGGTCTTTCTGTGTGTGTGTGTGAAGCGAGTGGTGGCCAAGCAGTTGATCTTCATGATGATGCATATAGATTGGAAAGATTTGGAAAGTTTATTGGCATCTGAAGATGCATGTGCCAAGGCACAAATTCTGTCGAATGCTTGTCTGTTTGGTGATCTTCCGCTTTGTAGTCACAAAGTCTGGCGACAAGCCACATGCGAATTAAGAAATGCCTCATAGTGACTCATAAAGCAGGGGGTTTGTAAGCAAGGTTGGCGTGCCGGATGTGTGTGATGGAGGCCCGAACAGAAGCACCCAAAGCCTTTGGCATGTTTGCGGACTTTCATCATCACTACACTACATGAGCCTTCAAGAAGGTATCATAGTCAGCAGCAGCTGTAAGGCTGGTGAGGAAAGAGTCCAAGTTTTCCTCGGCCCGACGAAACAGCTGGAGCAAGTCTTCCCCCTGCAATCATGCACTTCTTCTTCACAGGTGCAGGGTGTTGGAGCTCGCATCAGGATGTGGCTGAAAGCACGTTGCGGCCGAAAGGCTGCAGTGTCTCCAAGAGTTTCCCTCACTTCATGCAAATGCTGCATGGTGGACTGAAAGCTCTCCTTAGGGTTCAACGCTCAGCATCTCGAAGCAAGTGTATTGCAGAGCACACAAAGTATGCTGCAAAGTATTGGCAGGCGTTCAGTTCTTGGGTACATCTTCCAGCATTGCAGCCTGGATTCCCTTGTCATCCCAATCTCTGCCAAGGTATTCCTGAGAAATAGGATGAATTCGATGATTTTTGTCAATGAAGCTATTGCACAATCATGTGCTTTGAATACCGAGGGGCTCCAGTTGCGATTCAAAGATGTTGGTGTACTCTTGGTGTCCTAAAGCGACAAGAACGGCAGAACCAGACAATTGAGCTGTGTTTGCTCATTGGATGTGTCTGGACTGATCTAATCATTCCAATCCCTCTGAGTGAGGTCCAAGGAGTCCAAGGACTGACGCAGTGAGCATGGGATTGTAAGAAACGACCCTCAGTTCTAAAGAGTTCGGCCGAGGGGCGCAAAGTCCAAAGCCTTAGATGATGCAGTCTGACCGGATGACGGACACCACCTCTCTGACCGTCTGGCCGTCAGTTCACATCTATCCAGCTCGTGTGCTTGTCCACATCAGGTGCCTCAACTAAATATAGATATATATATATATATACATGATACATGAATTTCAATGAATCCGATGGAATCATGACTCACCATGTCCATCAGAACAGACAAGTCTTTGACCCATCACAAGCTGAGTTGATCAAACAAAAATCGACCAACTCGGACTCTTTTGGAACCAAACATTCCCAGTTGAAAGACGCCACCGGGAACGGGTTGAACCTCCATGGCGTTGAGCCTCAAAAACGGTTAAACTCTAAACCGGTTGAGCCGAGTTTCAGAGGGTGGGAGCCATCAGGCCACAAGGCCATGAAGTCACCAGCGTGTTCTGCCGCAAATTCTTGGAGCAGGTGCTGAAAGTTGCCTTGGCGAAACAAACAAAAACGGATGACACGTGCACCCCTCTTGGATCTATTGTGGGGTTGCAAAGCTCTGTTTTAGATGTTTTTAGGAGGTAGAGGACACATGAAGACACAGACGGTAAGGTCATTTCATGGAGCTCTAGGCCAGCCTGGAAGTAATAACATGTTTGGTTTTTCAAGTGACAATGCCTTTTCCAGGAGACATCAAAGCACATCATTGATATCAAGAAGCAATCTTCCAGACCATCACGAAGTGGCTCCAAGCTGGATGTTATGAGCCAATCCTGACAAAGGACGAACTGGAAGGAATCGGTGGGTAGGTCTCAAGATGCTCTTGATTTGCTTTCCCTGAGGCAGAGGTTCGTTCTTTTTGAGAAGCCCCAATTGAGGGCCATATTGACAATAAAATTGCTGAAGTTGCTGGAGCCTCGTGTTCCTTCTGCCGCAATCTTGGTGAGGTCTGATCCTCTACAAAGTCATAGGCGAAATCCTTGGTGATTGGCAAGATCTTTCAAGGCACTTTGTGTTTTGATATGTTTTGTTCTTGATGGTACCCACCACGCTTACTTTGTGTTGCAAAAAGCAGGTTTTGCGCTCTGTAGGTCATACCCTTCAAGCTCTCTAAGGCTGATACGGTTTTGTTAACTTTACATGCTAAATGTGCTGCCCGCATTCCGTGAAAATATTATCTGTATCTGCTATGAAAACTGTTTTCCTATGAACCATGGCAGTATGGTAGGGCACGAGTTCCACCTCCCTTACTGAACTCAACTCTACGGTTCTCCACTCTTCTGCATGCTATGTGTGCTCTTTTTTCCTAGCTGTTCCATTCTCCTTCCCTTCCTTTTTTATACTTAAAGAAGGGGGTGCAAAAGCCAGCGGTCGCAGCCCTCTTCGAGTGCGTGGAGGGCGGTCATCCATGCCAGCGCAGCAAGTGGCATCCCTGAGAGGTCTTACGGTTATTGTCTTCTGGTCTTACGGTCCTGCGCTGATACCACACATTGCCTTCCGGGCGGAAATCTTTAAGGCGTTGACACACCTGCTTGCAGGTTGCCGTCTTTACAATATCGTCGCAAGCCATAAAGACAGGCGCCTACATCGCTCCATACACACAACTGGACATCCTGCTGTCCACTGGCATTGTGTCATGGCCACTTGGTGATGCAAAAGATGCATTCAACCTTTTTAGCAATACTCGCATCACTAAGTCCTTATAGAGGTGCATTTTGGACAATTCCTTTTGTTCGCTCTCCTCCAGCAGGCTCTGGGTTCACCCTTCCCTTCATTCAACCTAGCCCATCGGCTGGCTTTTGTAAAAAACGCCATACCTTTTTGTGTTCCGGTGATACATGTTCGGCTCTGTGACTCTACCCTGCTCCTAATTTCTCAATTTGCACTCACTGCTACATACTGAACACTTCATTCTTCTGACAATCACGGCCCAAGGCACATATTGTCAAACTAGTAATACCTCACCATTCGGTGGTCTCAACCTTTGTGCCAAATGCCAAGTGGCAGAAGTCGCCATAATTTCCGATAAAGGCCGATACAAAATCAAGGTCTAAAGAAATGAGTTTCCAGTCAAGGAGGAACTCGCAGGACTTTGCAAGACTTTTCTTGATGGGTTCTTTAAGTTTCTTCACTTCCTGAAGTCATATCTTTTGATAATTGTCGCAGCATGCCACAGCATGATCTCTGAGCCAAGCTACAGGTCACAGTGCAAATCTTGCATCTGTGTAAAAGATTGATGGAAGTGCAGAATCAATGTAGTTGGTCCAAGCTGGCTTCTACTGTTGTGTTGACCTGGGTATCCTCCAGTATCACTTTCAAGTGACGTTGAATGCAATTCCGACCTTGATTGTGCTCTCGCAGCTGGCATGTGCCAAGGATGGGACGATGGAGATTGCTGGACTGGATCGTTGCCTCTACTATTGCAAGTCGAAGAAATGGGGCAGGTGAGACCCTCAACCATGAAGTTGCACCACAACTGAGTATTTGTCTAAAGAAAAAGCCCCCGCATCTTTGCTTGGCATCTTTACTTGCTGTCTTTCCTTGCTGAGGATTCTCGCTTTAACTCCTGGGACAGCGCCAAAGGAGGGCGCAAGCGGCATTGCCTCCGGCACTGTTCACAACCAATTGGATGAGTTCTTCGTCGTTCTCTCCATTTCTCGGAGACTTGAAGGGCTCGGAGACTTCTGGGATGAACGTTACATGACATCTTGTATATGTCCCTTTGTTGGTACAGTGTGTTGTTCCAGCAACAACTAGAGCAAACAAGTCCGCCAAGGCTGTTTTGCTTAGACCCATCCAACCATAGGCCATTCATCTTGGATGAAACATATGTGTAATAAGAGTTCGATCTGATTTCCAGGGCAGGGAATGTCGCTCAGGCTGTGGCTGTCGCAGATCCTTGGCTTCTTCCCGCCAAAGGTCCCCCCTGACATCGAGCGGTTTTTTCGAGCATCAGTGGCTCCCAGTCATCCAAACGACCGCGTATCGAAAGACATGTTGATAAAACCTTAGATGCAAATGGAGACCATCGCTATTAGGTTGGAGATCATGCTCAATCAAAAGCCCGAATCAGCATGTATATATACAAAAAAAAGGGGATCCTTGTGGATCTCCTGCCATGCGCCATGAACGCTGGGTATTGTGGCGGCTCGGCCTCATCCACAGAGTTGCTTGCGGCCGGTTCTGAGGCACAATGTGCATCGATGACCAATTCCTCCAGCTTGGGGAAAGCCGTCAACAAGTTGTGGATGACTAAAACCATCTACCTCCAAAATGAAAAATCCCATGGCCAAAGGTTTCCGTGGCAAAAAGGGTACAGCAACTGACGGACGCTTCCAACGTTGTTAAGACCTCCTCTTGTCGCTGGTTTCGTGATCGCTTGGGTTGGCTGGTTCTCTTGTCTGAAACTCCTGGTCGTTCTGTTTCTGCTGGCCTCCAGAGCACGTGCACTCACCTCGCGATCCAGCTCGTCGGCCCGCCTTAGACCTTGCGATGTTCCACAATTGCTCTCAAAGTCAAACGCTCAGTTGGCAGTGAAGCATGACCATTCTATGTGTTATAAAGATCCAACCAAGTCACGGTTCCTCTGAGCTGAGACTGCATGTTCTTTCCAACAAAGAAAAAGCCACAAATACGACTTCATCTTTTGGACCTTCTCCTACATCAGTTTTCCCCCTTTGTTGCTCCAAAAATGCACCAACCCGCCGAGGACGTCCTTCAGCCCACCCGCCGCGCCGCGTCGGACCCCCCCCCCCAAACCCCGCCGAGGTCGAGGACCCTCCGAGCGGAGCTGCTCGGCGACCTCGCCGGAATCGACGCCGCCCGGCCTCGGGCGGGAGGCGAGTCCCAGGAATTCTATTTATTTCTTGTTACTAGTAGCTTCTTGTTCCTATGAGCAAGGCCAGGAGCCCCTAGTAGCGTCTTTGTTACTACTTAGTAAGGCCAAAAACCCCTAGTAGCGTCCTTGCTCCTAGTAGCGATGCCCCAAAAGGCATTCTTTTTCAAGACATGAATTCCATGTTCCATGGATGTGGATCTTGTTATGGCGCCCTCAACTTGGAGTACTTCATCCGAGGTCACAGCAGAAGGACACCACCTCCGGAATGCAGTCGCCAAAGCGCCGACAAAGCCTTTTCGCCAGCTGGTTCATTGAGTCCGGCACCACCGAGCTCCGTGTGGGAAAGACTTGCCAAAAAGAGGACACAGATTAATATGTATATTGAAAAATAGGGAGGCCTCCCAGGCAACGACCCCCTGGAAGAAGGAAAATAAACCAAAACCCATTGGTTGGGGTAACACGACTTGCGGACGGATGTCAAACGTTCGCCGCCCCAAAAGTCCCTTCCCGCATATTACGGGGGGTGCTTGGGGTGTTTGCTACAGGGCCCTCGACTACAGGTGAGAGGAGTTTGGCCGAGTTGGATCTACAAGCTGTACATTGGATTGGTGTGTCCCTAAAAGAGTTTGAATTAACTACGAATTGTTGCGTACTGCCCACTAGGAGGAGTGGATCAGACGGCATATGCGGATTTGGATGAGCATCTAATTCGGAAATGGGTCTGGTAGATTATCTAGACCTCCTTGCGTGCGTATGAATTTGTAAGCGCGATCTGTAAGCGTAAACCTTTTCTTGAATGCAATTTCTGTTAGAGCCGGATACTGGACCATTGGAATGTTGTCCTCTAGCCGGAGTGGAAAGTGCGTTGAGAACGGTGGGTCATGTTTTTGTGCTAGTTGGAAATTAGTGATACTAGCCACTGTCTTTGCGGCATTCGGGAGGACAGGTCTACTGGATATGCTTGCCTTTATGGTGTTATCGAATCCTAGAGCTGCCGTGCTGCCTGCTCCTGTTTTCTTGCAACGAGGGTACAATCTTTGTTGTGAGAATGTCTCAATGTGTTGCAGGACTAGACGAAAAGTCTCAGCTTGTTAACGGAGTGCTCGTTTGATGGGTGGGAGCCGTTGTATTCTTGTGTCGGAGATCGGGAGCGCTTCGAGGGACACCCTTTCCGTTTGGGGGACGGATGGGTAAGTCGATACCTGTGTAGCACAAAAGCGTCAATTCGTACCAGCTAATGCCTAAGTCACCTTGTATGGGAGGGGAGGGTGCCGGGTGTCATTTCAGTGTAGACATGAACTGCCAAACTGCTGATGCGACGGTACGCCCCCCCCATGTATGTCTTAAATACCATTGGGAGCGGATTAGGCACCGGTGTGTGAGTTGCTAATATGGGGGACCGTTGGTTGGGGGTCTCCCTCTTTTGATGATGCGCTTTTCTGGGTGTTGAGGTCAACGAGCTGAGAAAGGAGCCCAAATGCGGCCGCAAGCACTGATGGCATCACTGGCTGTCATGGCCTGACGGCAGTGCCACGGGTCAAGAAAGCCACCAAAAATCTGAAGGTCACAGAAGACAAATGTAATGAAAACACTTACCACCTTCCTTTTCCAAAAGCACGCTTTGGCAACGGTTTGAAATGTTTGTCAGACCCAGGAAAATTACATTTACCCTGAGCGTCTCTCCGCCTTCCGTTCTCGGCAGCAACGTTCCAGCACCACCAAGGCAGGTGATCTCAGCATGAATCCGAGGCTTGCAAAGCTGGCACAGAATCACACAGATCACAGAGCTGACACCATTCCCTACAAAAATTGGGCTCCAACGCAAAGGCAGTCACTATTTCTTGGAAGGACATGGGCCATTGTACTCCTCAGAATAGAAAAGCATCAAAATGAGATGCGTTGGTGTTGTGATTTGGGCTCCTTCTGCTGCTGGTACGGCCACCTCCAGAAAGTGCTTCAACAGCCACAAATGTCATGCCACATCAACACAGTCTCCGAGTAATGATAACAGGCTTGTGGTGCAACATTAATATGACCATTTCCCCTTCTAAGGACTTTGTTGGAGTGATCACATGTTTTGCTTGGTTAGACTGGTTTACGGCCTAGCTTGATCAATGTTTGAACGGAACAGTCGGAACTTC